TTTACCTTACATGTGGCCAACCCAGGTTCAGTCTCCAGCATCCCATATGGTCCTCTGAGCACTGCTGGAGTAATTCCTGAGGGAGAGCCAGGAGTAACCCTTCAGCACCACAGTGTATGTCCAAAAAACCAAAAAGAAAAAAAATTTCCTTACTCTCCATACTTGTGTTATAAGAAATATATTCTTCAATGTTTTCCTTAAAAGCTTTAATACTTTCTCTTTTATGTGTAATCCATACAATTTTCAAAATGGATTTCTTTAGTATGATGTGTAAGATTTAGTCCAAGGTATTTTGGGGCCATTCCTGGAAGTGCTGGGGGTCATCACCAGGATGACACCTAGCAGTACCAGACCCACGCAGTATTGAGGCTCCAAGTTAGGATCTGACACATGCAAAGTGTGTGATCTACCACTTGAGTCATATCCTGACCCCGGGAAATTTTTTATATTGCTGTTATTCACTGACCATCATTTACTGTAAATAACTTCTACGTGGTGTTTTTAAGTCTAGGTACATAAGGGAAACTATCTTTAAAAAATTATATAATTATCACATGGCAAATTTTGAACACTCTAGATTGCCAGTATAGTTAATATCAGTAAATTTGTCTTTAGAGGTTGAAAAAATTTTTATGAAAAGAACAAGTTAGTATTTTAAGCCTCTGGATCAAATAGTCCATGTCACAATGATTCACTGTTGCTATAATGAAAGGTACTTCAGATAGCAGCCTTAAGACTAGGGATGTTGGAGCCAGAGTTATGGTATAGCAGGAAGGGCACTGCCTTGCATGAGTCCAATCCAGGTTCAATCCCTGGAATCCTATATGGTCCCCCAAGCCCAGGAGTATCCCTGAGCACAGAGCCAAGAGTAAGCTCTGAGCACTGCCAAGTATGGTCCCAGAACAAAACAAATAAAAAGAATAGGGGTAAAGCTATTGAGCATTTGTATTGCATAGGTGAGACTCTAGGTTTATCCCTGGAACTAAAGGGGGAGACAAAGAGCCTTGGGCAACATCAAGGAAATGGGCATATCTGTATTGTATTTTAAAATTGATTTTCTTTGCTTCTTTTTCCCTACTGTAGTCTTTCTCCAGGCCTCATCTCTACACCTTTTAATTAAAAAGAAACAGGTAAAAGGCTGAATTTAGCTTGATGGCTAGAGTGTGCAAGCTACTCTTCTAGACTATCACCAAATAAACCAAGATACACATATCTCATGTCAGTCTAACAAGGCAAACAAGGATATCCCCAAATTGAGTTTATTCAGGAATAGCTAAGAATTTACAACCTGGGTACAGTCACTGTACAAACTACAGGCAAACCTGTGGAGGGCTTGGGGCATGCTGTATTTGGGGGTAAGGAAGGCAAAGAGAGGGAGGTTAGCTAGAGTCCAAGCAACAGCAGATCCAATTGGCTAGGATGGGGGGAGGTTCTTGGTGGATGTTCACTAGTTGAGGGAAAGCTTCAGTTTTCTTTAAATCAGATATTTACATGTTATTCCTTAAATTTTACTCTCTTGAGAAATCATGTATAGGTATATTCATTTCATCTTCTTTGGCTCCATTTAAATTAAAGTCATTTCATAGTCTCTGTCTTTATACCTGAAAACCTGATATAGTCTAGAAGTTAGGCAGACCCATGGACTGGTCCCGCTAGGAGACTGTTTATAGAAGTTGATATTGATTTGTCTATTTAACTTACATTAGACCCTTTCTAGTATCTACGGTAAGACAGTGATTCAATATCAACTTGTCCAGTGAATCTTTCCAAGGAAGTCATACAGGGAACATATCCTGAATGATCTGGAAGGATGTATACAGTATAAAGATGAAATTATGCAGTTTGCTGCAAACTGAATGGCATTGGAGGGAGTCATGCTAAGTGAAATAAATCAATAAAGAAAAGTATAAGTATCAAATTATCTCACTTATTTTTGGCCTATAGAGAAACAAAGCAAGAGATTACATAATTCCCTCTGAAACTCAGAGACTGTTGATAAAACTGATCTAAGGGTGCTGGGTATAGGGGTAGGATGGGAAAAAGGATCTTGGGATAAAGGCGGAGGGACCCAGGAACTCTGGTGATGGGCATAGTGCAGTAGCACTGCACATAGAAAACAGGATCTTGGTTCTACTGTTAAAACTAATTCATTAAAAAACAAAACTCCTGCATGTAAGTTCTTTTTTTTATTTTCCTTTTTTTTTTTATTAGTGAAACACCATGAGGTGCAGTTATAGACTTACAAATTTTTGTGCTTGGGTTTCAGTTATACAATGATCAATTACCCATCCCTCTACCAGTGCCCATACTCCACCACCACGGGTCCCAGCATCCCTCCTATCCCCCATCCCCCCACCCCACCCTGTCTCTGTGACAGGGCATTCCCTTTTGCTCACTGTCCTTTTGGTGCTGTGGTTTGCAAAAGAGGCATTGAGTGGCAATCATGTTTGGTCTATAGTCTACTTTCAGCATGCTTCTCCCATCCTGGGAGGATCTTCCCAACACCCTTTATTTGGTGCTCCCTTCTCTATCTGAGCTTCCTTTTCCCCTAGCACGTGTGGCTGGCCTCCAAGTCATGGAACAAAATTCCTGGTACTAATCTCGGTCACTCCTGGGTGTTAGTCTCCCATTTTGTTATTTTATGTTCCCCAGATGAACGTAATCTTCCTGTGTCTATCCCTTTCTTTCTGAATCATTTCGCTTAACATGATACTTTCCATGTAGTACCACTTGTATGTAAATTTCATGACTTCATCTTTTCTAACAGCTACATAGTACTCCATTGTGTAAATGTACCAAAGTTTCTTTAACCAGTCATCTGTTCTCGGGCACTCAGGTTTTTTCCAGATTCTGGCTATTGTAAAGAGTGCTGCAATGAACAAATAAGTGCAGATGTCACGTCGACTATACTTTTTTGCTTGAAAGCCCATCTAAGAAGTAGCCCTTTCATTATGTTGCCAAAGTAAAAGATAAGAAAGAACACATAAAGCTGTTTGAGGCAGAAAGTTCAAGATCCCCCATAATTCTCCTTCATAAAATCCTGGGTGGCTTTTTTGTTTGTTTGGTTGGTTTTTGAACCACACCCAGCCTGAGCTCAGGGCTTACTCCTTACTCTGGGCATACAGATCACTCCTGGCAGGGCTTGGGGAACCATATGGGGTACCAGGGACAGAACCTGGGTCAGCAGAGTGCATGGCAAGTACCCTACCCTACCAGTGCATGACAACTACCCACCCTACTATTGCATTGACTTAGAATAAAAGTTTTAAATTTATTGATCCACTTCCCTGAACATTATTTTCTCACGGTAGGTCACGGTCCTCCCATTGTTCATCGATTTGCTCAAGCGGGCCCAGTAACGTCCATCATGAGACTTGTTGTTACTGTGTTTTGCATATCGAATACGTCACGCTCTGCCGTGCAGGCGAGATACTCTTGGTAGCTTGCCGGGCTCTCCGAGAGGCGGAGGAATCAATGTCGGGTCGGCCACGTTGGCCGCTTGTAAGGCAAACGCCCTACCGCTGTGCTATGGCTCCAGCGATATTAGTAGTAGAAATTAGTAGTTATTTTTCTAACTACTAATATTTAGAATGCATTATTTCTATGTATTTGTTGATATGCTTACATGTATGCAATTTCTATTATATATAAGTGGATCCAGAGAACCTATATTGTGATATTCTTTCACTTGACCAAACACACACACACACACACACACACACACACACACACACACACACAGCACGTTACTCTTTCACTACTGCATACTCTTCCAGTTCATGGATGAGCGGATGAGCTAACATTATCTTTAACTGCTCCCCTAACTCACAAATTTAGTCTTTTTTTTCAGTCAGAGAACACAGCAGATAAGGTATTTGCCTTGCATGTAGCTATCCTCAGTTTTATTCCCAGCACTATATATAGTCCTCCAAAACACTGCCAGGAGTGATTCCTATGCAAATAAAAACCAAACCAAAACCAAAACCAAAAGCCAAAAGCCAACTAGACTGTTTTCAGATCATAAACAGTGCTTTAGAAATTTTAGTACACAGGAATTGGAGAGACAGGACAGGACTTAGAATGTTTGCTTTGCATGCAGCAAGCCCCAGTTCTATCCCTAGCATCTCATCTGGTCCCCTGAATACTGCCAGCAGTGATCTCTGAGCACAGAGCCAGGAGTAGGCCCCTGAGCACAGCTGACCCTGCTACAAACACACACACACACACACACACACACGCACACACACACACACACACACACAATGTTGGCATTAGTTTTCCTTTATTGTTGCTTGTTTGGGGGTCACACTGTGGTGCAGGGCAGTTACCATGGGCTCTGTGCTTAGGGATTGTTCCCTGCAGTATTTAGGGGACCATGCAGTGCTGGGAATTAAACTTGATCCTTCAGCATGCAAAGCATGTGCTTAGCCCACTGAACTTAACTTTCAAGTATGCTGTTCATATGTCACACAGAAACTTTATTCCATAGTATCATAGCGTGAACAGAGTTATAGATATAGTGAGACAGCTATAAACAAGTAGATTATCTGAACTGCTCCTAATTATAGTTTGTTAAAATAAATTTGCTAAATATTCAAATTAACATGAAAAGAGAATGCTATAAGAAAAATTCAAATTAAAGGAAAAAAGCTAGATATTTCTAAAACAGTTCTAAAGCTGAAACTAACATACATACATACATACACAGCAGAGCTCAGTGGCAGAGGACATGCTTTAGCTTGGATGAGGCACTGGATAATTCTGGTATCCACCCCCATATGTATATAAAAAAACTAAAAATAAATTAGCCTAAAGTATTTCTCAAAACATGTATAATATACATTAACTGAAATAATAAGTTAAAAAATTTATACATTCATTGTGCTTTAATAAGAAACATACATGGGAAATGAAAAATTAATTTAACAAAATTTTGAACACACATAATACATCTCATAGACTACTAAATTATCTTTTCAACAGTATTGGGAGGCATTGAGCATAGTCTCTGGTTACATTTACTATACCTAAATAATTCTGAAAATTTTTTATCTTTTAAAAATATTTTTAGATGACACATTATAGTCTGGGCACTGAAACATTCCTGCCAACAAAGCATGCATTGACAACCACAAGAATTAAAAACCCTGTATCATCATTAAATGGAGAAACTGATAAGTGATTGAGAAAGAATATGCTGTTCACTAAGAAAATGATAAAGTTGCATAGATAAGAGGAACAGAAGTTATTAAATACGCTGTTATAGCTCATAGGTTTGATGGTAGAAGATGCCAATAAGTTTGTGATATTGCCACTCTCATCAGAGATGGGTTTTATGCAAGAAGAAAAGCTATTCAAATTTGACTAAATTAAGGGAACAAAGCTATAAATTACATCCATACAATAATGTCTATCTGTGACCTAAGTAGAACTGAATTGCAGAAGACTTTTTATATAATTTGGGTATATCCTTTTAAAAACTTAGGATTTGGGGTCAGAAAGATAGTTTAATGGACTGAAGTGCTTCTTTGCATACAGGAGATCTGAGTTCAATCCCTTGCATCACCTGGTTCTCTGAGCACCTTCAGGAGTTACCTGCACACCAAAGCACTACTGGGTGTGACCCCAAAGCAAAATAATCATGCAAACAAAAATGAAGATTTAAATACTCCATAGTAATCCTAAATTATTTTGATATTTCTCTCAGAAGACTGATTTAAAAATCAGTCTTTAGAGGAACACAAAGATAAATCTTTACAGGAACACAAAGACGTTTTCTTTCTTTACAAGGATACTGTGTAGTTTTACTTGTTAGCTACAGAAACAACTTTAGGGCTTGTTTTAAGAAACAAAGCACTCTCTGTGGAGAACTTATTTTTGACCCAGTTTAATGTTTTTGGAATAAACTATTTAATCATAATTTTAATATAATTCATTTCACAAAGGAAGCAAATTGACCAATTTGTGAAAACATTGCATTACCATAGGGTAAAACCAAGGTCAAAAAGAAGTGACTATACTATACCGCCCTAAGCACTTAGTTTACTTTATTTATTTGTTTTTGGGGTTTGGGCTATACTATCTGGTGCTTAGGGCTTAATTCTGGCTCTGAGCTCAGTGATCAATCTGGTTGGGGCTTGGACCACCATAGGAGGTATTGGGTAGAGAATCTGGGTCAACTGTGTACAAAGCAAGGCCATACCCACTGTTTTCTCTCCAGCTCCTAGCACTAAGTTTACTAAGTTTACTTCGTTTACTCCTAGCACTTAGTTTTACTGAAGCTTGAATTTCAATAAAAATAGATGGCCTTCTTACCTATTGTCCCTTAGAAATCATTAAGTACTATATTTCTTAGTAATGTCTTTTTAAATGTAAAATTTAACTGTAAAATTACTCTTTAATTCACTCATTTCAGTATGTCAGCTTAGAAAAAAAAATTCACATTTCCATGACTTTTCCAGAGTTATGTATTTTTTAAATTAAAAAGTACAAAGACTTGCTTTTATCCTAGAAAAGTCACTGTTTCTGAGTTGGTGAATCACAGTACGGCACATTTTCTACAAGAAGGTCTTTCCTAGGAACCAATTCTGAAAGGAAAACAAAAGAATGATTAACATCATTAAAATTAAAAGAATGCAAGTACACTCATTTCCTCCTGAAGTTACAGCAAAAGAGCTAATTTTAAGGTAAATTTTCCAGATCTATGTATTTTATAGGGTCACTTCTGGCAATGCTCAGATCATCATGCAGTAGCAGGGATCAAATTCAGGGCCTCACATAAGCTAGGCATGTACTCTACCATTTTGCCCTGGTCTTCGAGGCATACCTTATTTCAGTGAACTTTCAATGTGAAGTTCATGATTTTAAAAATAGACTGTTAACAGAATTCTCATTCCAGATTATATAAAAAATATATGTAAGAAATTTAACCTTTTATCATTTACTTCTAAAATATACTTAAGAAACTTAACAAAATTCAGTTAAAGCATATTATCAGCCATCTAAGGGCAGGTCCCTGATAATGAAAGCCATCAACTGGAAAATTTATTCTACCAACTGTGTAAAAAGACTGCTTTTCTATATAAAAATCTCAAATTTTATACAACAATTGTTATCACTTTGGAGTGTTTTGATCCTTGCACTAAATGAAGAATAACACTAGAATTTAGTGAGCAGAAACCAGAGATATATGGAATGGTTCTGGTGAGTGAGGATTTATTTTATTCAAAATGCCAAAAGTGCCCCACTGAGGAACACTGTTGAACAACCACCACAATGACAAAAGAAAAGGAAGTTTAGTCCTATATAAGATTACTTGCTGGAGTCAAATGCGATAAAGTTCAAGATAGAAAACTTGGAGGAGAGAAAATGTTTCCTCTCATTGGAGAGCTGCATCTAGAAGAACTGCAGTTCTCTGAAATAAAACTCTTAATCTCTTGCCAATATTCTTTTTTTTTTTTTTTTGCATTTTGGGTCACACCCAGTGATGCTCAGGGGTTCCTCCTAGCTCATGCTCTCAGGAATTACTCCTGGCGGTGGTGGGGGGAACCATATGGGATGCCAGGGATCGAACCAGGGTCTGCCACATGCAAGGCAAATGCCCTACCCGCCATACTATCCTCCGGCCCCTCTTGCCAATATTCTGAAGACAACAATTATGGTTGTGAAAGATGATAAAGGCTGAGGAGCTGCTCTAGATCAAGGAAGACTAAAAAGACATGACTACGTGTTACTTGGTGATCCTCAACTGAGTCCTAGATCACAGGAAATTTTTCTTTTTCTGCTATGAAATACACAAGGAAAAACTGATAACATAATTCTATCGATGTTATATCCCGGTTTTAAAAATATTCTGTGGTTATATAATAGAATATCTTTGTATATTTAGAAAATATGTATTTAAATACTTGGGTTTCAGTTATACAGTGATCGAATACCCATCCCTCCACCAGTGCCCATTCTCCACCACCAATGATCCCAGTATCCCTCCCACCCCCCGTCCTCCCATTCCACCCTGCCTCTGTGGCAGGGCATTCCCCTTTGATCTCTTTCTCCTTTGGGGTGCTGTGGTTTGCAAAAGAGGCATTGAGTGGCAATCATGTTCAGTTTAAAGTCTACTCTCAGCACGCATCTCCCATCCTGGGAGGATCCTCCCAACACCTTTTATTTGGTCTTCTCTTCTCTATCTGAGCTACCTTTTCCCCTAGCATGTGTGGCTGGCCTCCAGCCCATGGAATAAACCTCCTGGTACTTATCTCTGCTATTCTTGGGTGTTAGTCTCCTATTTTGTTACTTTATGTTCCCCAGATGAATGCAATCTTTCTATGTCTGTCCCTCTCTTTCTGACGCATTTCACTTAGCATGACACTTTCCATGTAGTACCACTTGCATATAAATTTCATGACTTCATCTTTTCTAACAGCTACATAGTACTCCATTGGCTAGTCTGCCTTTTTAACAGGAAAACAATTTTCTTGAAAGTAGCATCCAGTAAAAACCTACTAAAATGTGTCACATGATCTGGGAGTAACTATTTTCCATTATTTTGCTTGGCAGAGTGCATTCTGAACACATTTCTACCCTCTGCCCTCAAAAGAAATAGGAGAACGGAGGGGGCCAGAGAGACAGTTCAGAAATTTAGGCACTTGCCTTGCACATAACTGACCCCAGTTTAATCCCCAGTACCATATACAGTCCCCCAGCACCACCAGGAGTGGTTCTAAGAGCAGGAGTAAGTCCTGAGCACAGTTGAGTGTGGCACCCCCCCCACCTCAATCCCTCTAAAAAATGAATAGTAAAATGGGTATTTGAGTCAACAATCAGTTGATCCTTTGGCTGCTCAACATGCACATTACCTGTCTAATAATCTATGCAATATCCATTGACTACTGGTCCCAAGGGTTTCATCTAAATGGAAATTAAGGATCTATGACTTCTGTGCTCCTTTTGCATCAGGTGCAGCTGAGGCTCACATGGCAGATACTCAGCGGGCCAGTGTTTCCCAGCTTTTCTCACCATGGTCTCCTTCTGACCTTGTTCCCTTTCTATGACCCCGTCCTACCAGTTGGTCCCCTTAATTGGTGCTGTGGCCCCTCATTTATGTGCCTTTCATCTGTGGTCTTGGAATCTCCTGGGGGCTCACAAGGTCATATGACTTCCAGCTGAGAAAAGCTGAACCACACCATAGTAAACAGGAGACAATAATAAACACCAGAATGGAAGATACTATGGGAGCCAATACTGCAGAGCAAACCCTGAATCCTGTTGGACAGGAAGAGTAGAACTATCACTTTGGCAAAACAATAAATTCTCTCATCAGTGAATCTGGCATCATTAAATTCTGTCTTCTGGGTGACCCAAAGACTGCAGGGGTTCTGGTTCGGTCCTTTGGGGGAATCCTTCCTGCACAAATGTGGGGATCTTGAGGTAGATGTCCTGCTCTCACTCTGGAGCTTTCTCACGCTCTACATCCAGCTCATTCAATTTAGGGACTCAGGATGGCCTGAAATGTTGCAGAGAATTAGACAGGCTTATGGCTTCCTGGGAATACTCAAAAACTTTATCAACTTTAGGGCCAGGGATATTGCTCAACATACCCCGTTTTATACCTTTTTATTTGCTTCCAATCATTTCCATATATCAGTGACCACAGGAAAACATCAGTTTCTCATCCCTTTGGGAAAGGCCTCACTTCTGCCCTTGCTCCCAATCCTTAGCTTAATGGGCACTTCTTGAAGCACTGATAAACAATAGGCTCCAGTGAATAAATGAGTTCTATGTCTGATCTTCATCTGCCAGAGGAGAAAGACTCGAGGCATTGATCGGGCTTCATTTTAGAGCTCAGAGTCCCTCTGCTTATATCAGCTTTAGTTTTACTGGATAGAAGCAACTGGCATTTCCAACCCTGTAAAGCTCTAAATTATAGGACTCTGGGCCAATTAAACTTTAGGAAACAGAAGAGTGCCCCTTAACAAAGTAGTACTTTCTTTCATCTTTGCTTTGCAAACTAGCTGAATGTGCATGCATCCTTTCTTAAAAAATATTTTGCTGAAACCAGCAAGAAATAACCAGCACATGCTGACATTCTGGTTATTTCCCTTACCACTCTAGCTTTCTCTTATACTTGGTCTGTTTCCCAAGAAACAATAAAAGATACTTATATTTACCACTACAGAACAAGAACCACCGGATTAAAGCCAGTAATGGTCGGGTCACTGACAACCATATACCCCTCTATCCTTGTATTTCATTCAACTAATTTTGCATTTTAGGTTGTGCAACTTTTAGTACCCCACTTTTGGGAACAATATCTGCTGTTCTTAGGTATAAGTAATGGAAGCTGAGTCTGCATGAATAGGCAGAAAAGGGATTTCCCTGGTTATTGGACTGCTGCAAGGGTTTAAGAAAACAGGCAGTCTCCTTTTTTTTTTTTTTGGTATTGCTGGGGCTTGAACCCAGGGAAAATTCTACTGCTGAGTTACATGCCCGGCCCTAAGAACCAGGTAACCTTAAAGTCAAAGCCATTCCACAGAACTGGTCTGATAATAAAAATGGCTGCTGCCTCTGGGGTACCAGAAGAAATACCACATGACTATTCAGTGGAACATGAGGCAAAACACTGCAGGAGCTAAAGGCTGGAACTCCACTTTGCTCTATGTTTCTGCTATGGTAGCAAGGAACTTCCCAATCAGTAACTTCAGTTGGCAACCACTGATGCCTCTCCTGCCAGCAAAATAGGTTTAGGACCAACCCTTTCCCTCAGGTTCATTTCTGAATATGGTGAGTAGGCTGTGCCTATGTCTCATACAAATGTCTGGCACTAAAGTGGAAAGAATCAGAGGAAATGGATTTTCTAGAGTCTATCTTAGAGATGGAAAGTTCCTACAGATGGACATTCTTGAAACAAAGCATGGACATTCAAAGAGTGGTAAACAAGGTCTGGAGAGATATTCCAGTACAGCTTGCCTTGCATATGGCTGACCTGGAATTGATCCTTGGCACCCCGTATATGATCCTTTGTGCCTTGCCAGGAGTGATCCTTGAGCGAAGACCCAGGAATAAACCCTGAACACTGCTGTATGTGACCCCCAAACAAAATACAACTCCGCCCTCTCCCCATACCCCAAAACCCAAAAAAACAGAGACCGGAAAATAAACATAAAATCTGTCCAAAAAAACACTACTGGGAGCTAGAGAGCAAGTACAATCGGAAAGGTGTTTGCCTTCCATGTAGTTTACTGGGATTCAATACCCAGCACTGCACATAGTCCCCTGAAGCACTGCTAGGAGTAGTCCCTGAGCAGAAATAAGAGAAAGCCCTGAGTACGACTGGGAGTGGCCCAAAAATCAAACAAAAATGAAAAAAAAAATCCATTACTCCATTTTTGTATCAGTTCTTAGGTAATCTTTGGAATAAAGAAACACCCTATAATTAAATTTTTCTGTATTTCTTAATTGCTAACACTTAAATTAAGCTAAATACATCTCTCTAAATGTATTTATAAGCTACCTACTATTTTTTACCACAATTTGTCTTATTGATTATAAAATCTTTGACTTTGCTCTTTATATTAGATATCAAAAAATGTAACAGTGCTAGTTTTATTGAAGTGGCTAGATCTTAGCCAGGTGATCATTACTTTTCCCTGTACTTTAGGCCACTGAAAAATTTATTATTTAAAGGACCAAGCTATAGCTCAATGGTAGGGTACATGATTTGATGAAAGAGGTCCTGGGTTTCACTGCCAGCAGCTCTCCAACCACCATATGCTCTACTTTAGGGCAAATCCCATTTTCAATCAGTTATAAATATCAAGCTGTTGGAGCCAGAGAGTACTGAAGGTAAGGCTATTATTGCCTTGTGCAAGGCTGATTGGTTTGATCCCTGGCACCTCATATGGCTGTGTGGGCATGACCAGGAATGACCTCTCAGCATAGAGCCAGAAGTAAGTCCTGAGCATTGCCAGGTGAGGCCCAAAAGCCAAAACAAAACAAACTTCATCTTATTGTTTTTGTTATCCTCAAAACTACTTTAGGGAGTTAAAGTATAATGTGGAATAAGATTCAGCTGAAGTCTTAAAAGTAGAGTCTTATGTATAATGAGGATCCTTCACTATATATCCATTTCCTACAATCCAAATTCTTCTGAAATAAAAATAACTCTCATTATAGTATGAAAGATAAACAGCATAGGTAGTTGATAAATGATACTGGAAAAATCCACTCGGGGCGCCCCAGAGCGGGGGAGGTGAGAGCCCTCCCCGCCCCAAAGGGCTCAGCCCTGGCTGCCAACCTCCACAACCCAACCGCTGCCATGCTCCAGGCCACTTTCCACATGCTTGGGCCGAGCTTCACATATGAGTGAATATATTCCTGGACCGCGCAGCTACTTTTGCGGCCACACTATAAAACACCCCCTACCCATTTTCTATAATTACTATATCATATTTGATGGGGTTCAGACAGTGGGCAACAAATCATAGAGGGGAAATATATATGCATATATACATATTTTGAAACATATATCAAAGCTCACATCACTCAAGCCATAACAACACGTTAGTGATATTCTATAGAATGTCTTAATGGCTCCTGCCAAAATAGAACAATCTTTACACTGTTTTCCATATGAACACTTTTTTATAAGCATGGTCAGCAGTTCTTCATAACAGACAATACAAAATATAGTCTTTTGTTTGTGTTTTGGGACAGGGATTGGGGCTTGGGATAGAAACATCCCAAATTTGATGGTGGGAAGATGTAATGGTGGTGGGATTGGTGTTTAAATATTGAATGTAATAAAATATTGTAAAGTAACTTATAAAGTATTAAGAAATAATACTGGAAAAATTAAGTAGCCCAAATAAATATGGCAAAATAATTATACTGAAGTTTAACAATATAACCAGGTATCAAAATTTTTTATTATTTATTTATTTAGTTTTTGCTTTTTGGGTCTCACACCCCTCAATGCTCAGGGGTTACTCCAGATGCTCAGGGAACCATATGGGATGCTGAGTATTGAACGTAGGTCAGATGTATGCAAGGTAAACACCCAACCCACTGTACTGTTGCTCCGGTCTCCCCCAACAAATTTTTGTTGTTGTTTTGGGGTCACACTTGGCAGTGACCATGGATTAATTCTGGCTTTGAACTCCATTTTTGTTTGTTAGTTAGTTTGGGTCACACCTGGCTTTGTGAATCACTCCTGGTGGTGCTCAGGGGACATTATGGGATGTCAGGAATCAAACCCAGGTTGGCAAAACCCTATCTCTTAGGGCCTACATTTTAAAAACATATATACATATACATATTTACATATATCTATATACACATACATAATATAAATAGCTGGTAAAGCATCATTTTTATTTAAAATTTTAAAATGTAGACATTTATTATTACTTTAAGGAATTTTTTGGTAGCACAACTGGAGAGACTCAGGGATTATTTCTGGCTCTATGCTCAGGAGTGACCCCTGGTGGTTTCCAGGGGCCATATGTGGTGCTGTGGATTGGCTGCACACAGGGCAACACCTTACCTTCTGTACTATGTCTCTAGCCTGGTAATGCAGTATTTTATATTTCAGTCATTTAAAATGGTAGCTTTAGAAATATACACAGTACATGCCACACTGTAAAAATCTAGTTATTTTACTTATCAACATTAAAAGCACTGCTATTGTTCAATATTTTAATATGCACTGGAGGAGTTGGAAAGATAGCATGGAGGTTAAGGTGTTTGAATTATAAATGGCTGACCCTAGTTCGATCCCTGGCACTGCATATGGTCCCCTGAGCACTGTCAGAAGTAATCCCTGAGCATAAAGCAGCAAAAAGCCCTGAGCACAGTTGGGTATGGCAACTTCCCCTCACCCCTGAAAAAAAAAGTACACCACAGTAGTCAGAAAACACTGGTCTTTCCTTCTACTCACTCAGTGTATTGTGGTCTGTGTGAACACCTTGTATAACTGATGTTCTCAGTAATAGTTCAACATCGGAGCCCATTTTCATTAGCTGTTAAAAAAAATCAAACACATAAAATAAATATTTGTTTTCCCAATGGTTTATACAAATGTTCATAGAAATGTATAGCTTTAAAAAAACCCAACAACTATAGTTTATTATAACCTTTTTGGTTAATACTGCCTTTAGCTTCTTATGACCATTGTAAGTGTATAGAAAGCTCATACAGGCACTTACTGGAAAATTTACCCACCCTTTCCTATTTTGCTTGAAAACAGATTCAGGGTACTTTTTTGGAATGAATACTTTACTGTGTATATAAAATGTAGTTTTGAGGAGTGTGGATGATGTATGTGTGTGTGTTGAGGGTTGGTTGGGGGGGCAGTCCCTCACACATGCAAGGTAAGTGCTCTACCACTGAGTTATGTCCTCGTTCTGAGTATTTATTTCAATAAATGCAGATGTTTTGGACATTAGAAAATGTGTTGGATTAATAATTAGAATATTTGGATTCTAATTCTGGCCCGGTAATTAGGTGTATAGCCTTGAGTTAATTACCTTTTTTGTTTGTTTTTGGGCCATCCCTGGTGATGCTCAGGGCTTATTCCTGTCTCTGCAGTCAGGAATCACTTCTGGCAGTGCTTGGGGGAACATACTGGGATGCCAGGGATCGAACGCTGGTCAGCCACATGCAGGGCAAGAGCCCTACCCATTGTACTATCTCTCGAGCCCCTACCTATTCTTTTTTTAGTTCTGACATGATCATATGCTAAATGAAGAATTGTACAAAATAATATTTTCAAAACTGTGCACTTCTGAGAGACCTTGAGTCCTTTTCAGGAAATACATGAGATAAAAATTATTTCATAACAATTTGAATTGTGAACAGAATTTTCTCATCTTTACTTGAAATAATCACTGAGTGACTGATTAGCCTTGAATATTTAGCACTTTATTGAAAATTAGTGAAATGAGCCTGTCACTTGAGAAAATGTATTCAGCACTATAAGTCAGCTTCTAATACTAAAGGATGTTTCAAGTGAGATTGATATTGATATTAATAGAAGTAATTAAAAATTACATATTAGAGGCTGGAGTGATAATACAGCATGTAAGGTATTTTGCCTTATATGTGCAAGCCCAGGTTCAATCCCTGGCATCCTGTATGGTTCCCCCAAGCACCGCCCAGAGTAATTTCTAACTGCAGAGCAAGGAGTGGGACCTAAGCATCACTGGGTGTGTTACAAAAACAAACAAAAAATTACATTTTAAACTGTGCTAATAGTGAGAAGATCTGCATTATTTGATGAATCTCAATTTTTAAAATTAGCAATTCAAGATGGGTAAGAGATACTTTGGAAGGGTAAGACTGGTTAAAATAGTCAGCCCAATAAATTGGAACTTCTTGGGGCTGGAGCAATAGCACAGCGGGTAGGGCGTTTGCCTTGCACACAGCCAACCCAGGTTCTATTCCCAGCATCCCATATGGTCCCCTGAGCACTGCCAGGGCTGATTTCTGAGCGCAGAACCAGGAGTAACCCCTGTGTGTCGCCAGGTGTGACCAAAAAAGAAAAAAAAATAAATTGGAACTTCTTAAGTTTTTTCTGCTTTCAACTCCTGGAAAATGTAACAAGGGCAAGCACTGCCAGAAACATCCTCAGATTTATTACACAGTTCATTTTTAATTTTAGCTGTTGCAAGTTAGGATACTTTTACACTTTTGCCAAGATTTTTGGAACCCCCACATTTTTATGCATCCTCATACTTAAACTAGGTACTAAATGAAGATTTGGGGACATGGGGGAGAGATATCCTATGAAGAAGTAACAGCATGAGGGGAGCTGGAGTGATAGCACAGTGGGTAGGGCGTTTGCCTTGCACGTGGCCAACTCGGGTTCGATTCCCAGCATCCCATATGGTCCCCTGAGCACCGCCAGTAGTAATTCCTGAGTGCAGAACCAGGAGAAACCACTGAGCATCTCTGGGTATGACCCAAAAAGCAAAAAAAAAAAAAAAAAGTAACAGGATGAGAACCCTGTGATAGAAAAGTTCTCAGTATATTCAAGCATCCTCAAGTGAGAATGGAAGAGGGGGAAGGTGGTGGTTTGAAGGTCATAGGGGTCATGATGTTTTGTAGGTCATGGTAAGCACTTTATATTTTACTATGGAAGGAGGAGGAACAGGTGTTGGAAGTAGTGGAATGATGGAAGATACTTTTGTTTTTTACTCACACCTGGTGATACTCAGAACTTACTCCTGGCTCTGTGTTCAGGGATCACTTCTGGTGGTAGATCCAGAAACCAAGGAACCATAGATATTGGTTTTGGGCCACCCCCAGCAGTGCTTGGGGAGCCATCTGGTGCTAATGAAGCTAGGACTTCCACATTTGAAGTATATGAACCAGTGCTTTGAGTTGTCTTTCTGGCACAGTATATGCCTTTAGAAAAAGGGTCACTATACCCTTAAAAATATTAAGAGGCTCTGTATAGTCTCTAACCACCTCTGGTTTTTTGCACCCCAAAAACTTCTCTCTTAGAGAAAAGAGCTCTCATTTACTGCTGGTGGGAATGTTGTCTAGCACAGCCTTTCTGGAAAACAATATGGACATTACTGAAAAATCTAGGAATTGAGCATCCATTTGACCCAGCAACTTCACTTCTTGTAATATTCCCCAAAGACCCGCTTACCCAAAATATGAAGAAACATTGGCAAACCTCTATTCCTTGCAGCACTATCCACAATAGCTAAAATCTAGAAATAACCCAAGTGTCCAAGAATAGATGACTGGATAAAGAAACTGGTACATACACACAATGGAATACTACTCAGTCATAAGAAAAGATAAAATCATGAAATTTGCTACTATGTGGAAGGAGTATAATGCTGAGTAAAGTTAGTTAAGAGGGAGTGAGACCGACACAGAAGGATCTCTTTTACATACCGGATATAAAGAAACATAATGGTGCAAAAACAAGTACCCAAAGGCAATGGAAACAGCATGAGAACTGGTATTCAGTAGGAAACAGATTAGGACAGGGAGGGGGCAACATCTATGGTGGCAGAAAACATTCAACAGTGAGGAGGAGTGTTGCTGAAAGGTAAAGTGTTATGTATGTAGCCTGATCAGAGACAGTGCTGTATATCATACTGCAAAAATGTGTGTGTGTGTGTGTGTATATATATATATATATATACACACACACAAAAGCACCTCTCGAAGAAGTAGACTGGTCGGTAGGAAGCAAATGGGGGGGCCAATGGGACATTGAGGGAGGGAAGTGGACACTGGTGAAGCGATCTGTGTTGAAGCACTGTAAGACTGAAATCCAGTCATGAATAACTTGGTAATTTCACAATTACTAAATTTGAAAAATAAAATCCCTACCAGGGATGTGGCGTTAGTATACCTATAGCCTTGCACACAGCCTAGCCGTGTTCAATCCCTAGGACACAGAGCACAGAGCCAGGTGTGGCCCACAAGCAAGGCAACCTTCCATCAAAATGAAAGCTCTAGGGGGTATGGTGCCACCAGCAGGTCAATCTGTACCTGTGAGGTGAGTGCATCACCAGCCTGATGGCACCGTCAGACTTTCAGATACCCCAAAATTGCTGCTGTGTCTTTGGCCAGACCCCAAAAACTTGGGGCAAAGTTTACCAAGAAAGTAAACGGCCAAAATTAGGTATGTGGGAAACACAGCCACAAACCACCTCCATCTCAGCTATATAATTGGAAGCATGGCCTCTAGTTTCTGATCGAATTGCTTAATGGCCATGATCCCAGAGACTCAGAAACGAATCTCGGAACCCAAAGATTTTTGACAGAAATACGTCCTGTTCCTGCAGTAGGTTACTGGTGCAGGGCCAATCCAGGTGGGAATAGGTTTCTTGCCTTGGCCTGTTTCCCCTGGCAGCCTGGTGACCATCATCCTCCAGAGGCCACAGGACAGTCAGGTTTGGGCCTGCAGTGATGAGACACTAGGGGCCTCACCAGATGGGGGTGGAACTGGCCCTTTTCTCTCCATCCCAACAAGACCCTGAGTCGACACCTACAAACGGCCTCTCTGGCTCCTGATCAAGCAGATTAATGGCCATGATCCCAGAGACTCAGAAACAAATCTCAAAACCCAGCGGCTTTTGGCAGAAATTCATCTCGACCGCATACAAGGTGGCCGCCGCCTCAGAGCATATAGGAAAGCCAGGTATGAGCCAGTGGTGATGGGGCAACTGCAGTCTCATGGGAAGGGGGACAGTACTGGCTCGTCCTTCACGCCTACCAAGGTCACGAGTTGCCCCTCACGAGCGGCTCTCTGACACAGCTATGGCTCTAGAGGCAAAAGGACTTAGTCCAGAACCCAATAGCAGAAGAGTGAATGGTCCATGCATTAAACTATGGCACCATGCCTCCCCGGGAGGGAAAGGGTGTTGCTCCCTTCCGCTGTCCCCCCCTCCCAGCAGCAAGGTGGTCACTGCCTCAGAGCTTATTGGAAAGCCAGGTATGAGCCAGCGGTGATGGGGCAACTGCAGTCTCATGGGAAGGGCGGTGGTACTGGCTCGTCCTTCACGCCCTACCGAGGTCACCAGCTGCCCCTCACAAGTGGCTCTCCAGCACAGCCATAACACCAGAAGCACAGAAACCAATCTCGTAATTATCTGGCTCTTTGCAGAAATCCAAAATCATTATATGACATTATATGATTCTCATACCAGCTATAGAAAACAAAGTATTTCACAATGCCTTTTCAGCAATTCTGATTGTTGGGGAGGAATTCTAAACAATAATGGTGCATCTTTTGTCGAAATAATGAATAGTAATCAATGTAGAGAAAAGTTAAGTAAAAATCATCTGCCTCACAGGCATTGGAAGGGGTGGGAGGGGGGTATATTGGAGTTCTTGGTGGTGAAAAATGAGTACTGGTGAAGGGAAAGGTGTTTGATCATTGTATGACTGAGACTTATTTTTTTTTATGTAGGAATACTACTATTTATTCAGCCACTAATTAGCTGACTGAATTGTGCATGAACTCCACCTTACTTTTTTTTTCCATTTTTTTATAATTTTATTTATTAAATCACCGTGAGAGCAGTTACAAAGCTTTCGGGACTAAGTCTCAGTCATACAATGAAACACCCGTACCTTCACCAGTGCCCATTCTCCACCCCCAACAACTGAGACTGAGACTGAGGGAGGGTGTGGGATGGCGGTATACTGGGGTTGTTGGGACTAAGTCTCAGTCTCAGTCATACAATGAAACACCCGTACCTTCACCAGTGCCCATTCTCCACCCAAAACAACCCCAGTATACCCCCATCCCATACCCTCCCCCTACCTGTGGGGCAGATGATTTCCATATTACTCTCTCTCTACTTTGATCACATTCAATATTTTGACACCAGACCCACCATTATTATTTGAGATTTTACCCCAACACTCAGATCTGCTGAAAAGTCAACAGTAGACAATTTGTTTTCTTTTGCTGGCTATGAATAACATATGATGTCGTGTGGTTGCAGTGGCTGCATGATTTTGAATTTCCAAAATTTTAACACTTAAATCTGGAGGGATTTCTGCCAAAACCTGCTGGGTTCCGAGATTTGCTCCTGAGTCTCTGGGATCATGGCCGTTAAGCAGCCTGATCAGGAGCCAGAAAGGCCATTCATTGGCGATGATTTGGGGTCTTGTTGGGGTGGGGAGGACAGGACCAGCTCCATCCCGTGAGGCCCAAAATGTCTCATCACTGCGGGCCCAAGTCTGACTGTCCAATGGCCTCTGGAGGATGACGGCCACCGAGCCACCAGGGGGAAGCAGGCGGAGGAACAACACCCTTTCCCCCCTGGGATGACCCGGCGACAATAACCTACTGCATGGTCCGGACGCATTTCTGCCAAGAGCCACTGGGTTTCGAGATTTGTTTCTGAGTCTCTGGGATCATGGCCGTTAAGCAGCTTGATCAGGAGCCAGAGAGGCCGTTTGTGGGCGATGACTTGGGGTCTCGTTGGGGTGGGGAGGACAGGACTGGCTCCACCCCCATCCCATGAGGCCCACCAAGTTTCGTCACTACGGGCCCAAGCCTGACTGTCCAATGGCCTCTGGAGGATGGCCGCCACCGGGCCACCAGGGGGAAAAGGCCAATGCACGAAACCTATTCCCACCTGGGTTGGCCCAGCACTGGTAACCTACTGCAGGGACCGGACACATTTCTGCCCAAAACCGCTGGGTTTCAAGATTTGTTTCTGAGTCTCTGGGATCATGGCCATTAAGCAGTTTAATCAGGAACCAGAGAGGTCCTGCCTCCAATTATATAGCTGAGACAGAGGTGGTTTGTGGGTGTGTTTCCCACATACCTAACTTTTGGCTGTTTACTTTCTTGGTAAACTCTGTCCCAAGTTTTTGGGGTCTCGCCAAAGGCACAGCAGCAATTTTGGGGTATCTGGAAGTCTGAAGGTGACATCAGATTGCTGATACACTCGCCTCATGGCTACAGCTTGACCTGCTGGCTGCACCATACCCCCATGACCGATACTTAAACCTGAAAGCTTTGTAACTTTTCCCACAGTGATTCAATAAATAAATATAAGAAGAAAAATAAATAAATAAATAAAATTATGGATAAAAAAGTAAGGTGGAGTTCATGCCCAACTCAATCAGCTAATCAGTGGCTTAATGAACAGCAGTACTCCTACATAAAACAAAACAAACAAACAAACAAAAACAAAACAAAAATAAATAAATAAAAGCACTAAGAGTAGGTCACAGGGAGTTACAGCAGAAGCAGGGAGAACTTTTAGGAGTCTATTACAAAAAACTAGGGAGAGAAGATGGTTAATCCAGGAGATAACAATGGGCAGAATGAGACGTGGTAGAAATCTGGGTATATTTTGATGGCTAAGCCTCTATGATTTTCTGACAGTTTGGATTTAAGAGTAAGAGAAAGAAAAGAGTCAAGGAAGAAGAGTAGCACTTGGATGTACTCATAAGTAGGGCACAAACTTCAGGTGTATAAGGTCCTGAAGAGGGAAGGAGGGAGGCCTGGAGGAAGACAAGCAACTCCTTTCCAAAGGAGGAGCTGCCGTCAACAGAGACACTCACCTCCTTGGAGAGCTGAGAGGGGGCATGAGTTGAAAGCTGAAGATAGGGAAGACAAAAGAAAAATCAGGCCTCCTCATCCACTGAAGATGCATAAACAGAGGTGAGACCTAGATCCAATATTACAAACAAGGCTTGATAAGGAGCAAGACAGTAGAGGTGATCAGAGGGGATAGGCGGGAGATAGCTTAGATAGAGCCTATAATGGCCCCATAACTGAGTGTGGGGGTTGAGAAAAATACTGAAAATATTTCTAAATTAGGGAGATCTGGAGAGACAGTACAGATATTAAGGCTCTTGTCATGGCCAACCCTCATTTCATCAGGTTCTGGTTTGATAACCAGCACTGCCAGGAGTGATCCCCGGACGCAGAGCCAGGTGTGATTCAAAACAAAAGATGTCTAAGATTTCTTTTGGTGCCATGACATAATGAGTCTTCTAATACCTGGCAACATAATTATCTAAAAACTACTCTTTTTTTAAAACTTTATTATTATTATTATTATTATTATTATTAGAGCCCGGCAAGCTACCGAGAGTATCGAGCCTGCACGGCAGAGCCTGGCAAGCTGCCCGTGACGTATTCAATATGCCAAACATAGTAACAACAAAGTATCCAGTGGAGACGTTACTGGGCCCGCTTGAGCAAACCGATGAACAACAGGAGGATCGTGACCGTGACCGTTATTATTATTATTATTATTTGCTTTTTGGGTCACACCCGGCGATGCACAGGGGTTACTCCTGGCTCATGCACTCAGGAATTACTCTTGGTGGTGTTCGGGGGACCATATGGGATGCTGGGAATCAAACCCAGGTCGACCGCATGCAAGGCAAACACTCTACCCGCTGTGCTATCGCTCCAGCCCCAAAACTACTCTTTAATATACATAACCACAAAATACACATTTATATACAACAAATTTCTAATTTCTAGACTGATTAATGTCAAGTCAATGCTCCATAAGCAAAACGAATTTGGGACAATGGAATTCACTGATATAAACAGACCCTGATTAAGATTTCATCATGATTTCAAAAATTAAAAATAATCACCATGTTGTTAATGTCTACTGCATAAATAGTACAAAGTTAAAAAGCTTTTCAACGTTTTCAATCATTATTTGTCATCTTCTGCCATGAATAAAAATTACATACTTCCTGTGTCACCTATCACATGCTTAAGTAAAATATTTCACTTTTCCTTAACATGATAGAAATACCTAGGCTATCTCATTTTGTCTCATTAGCTTGGCTACTAGTGGTATTTTCTACTTAAATTCAGCTCTTTTTTTTCTTTACTAACTATAAGTGCATTTTTATATTTAAAAATATTTTTATTTAGTAAATAAGAGGGAGAGGAAAGAGAGCTGAGGGAAAGAGATTGCAAGAAAAAGAACTCTAGAATGGAATATGCTTTTATCAGATTCTTTTTAACATGCAGAAATTCTACTAAACATGAAATTATTTTTGTAATTTTTACCTTTCTCTTACCAACATTTATTATTATTTGTTTATGTGTGTATTTTATGTGGTGAATGTGGTGCATGTGTATGTGCGGGTGTCATGCTGAGGAGTGAACTGACGATCTCACACACACATAGCATATGCTTGACCACTGAATCAATTTTTAGAATCATAAGTAAGGTAAAGGTAAAGGCCCTCCCGTTGATCGTCGATTTGCTCGAGCGGGCCCAGTAACGTCTCCATTGGAGACTTTGTTGTTACTGTGTTTGGCATATCGAATACTCTCCGTAGCTTGCCGGGCTCTCCGAGAGGGGCGGAGGAATCGAACTCGGGTCAGCCATGCTGGCCGCTTGTAAGGCGAACGCCCTACCGCTGTGCTATCGCTCCAGCCCAGAATCATAAGTACATCTCTAAATAATTTTCCAATTTTTTTTGTTTTCCTACCTTTATATAAAGCCTGATACAGGTACACTAGAAAGCTTAAAGCAAAGATAATATACATAAACAGTATGATTTACATAAGAAAAAATTAACATACATTTTATTCAATGGACATATAGCGAAAGCACCAGGGAGGTCACAGACTAAGTTTCAGTAGTTTCAGTAGACTAACTTCAACGAGAATAAGTGATTAAAATGAAACTACAGCTCATAAACTATGGCTGACTAACTTACAACCCAAAGAGGAATTCCTGAAAAGTCTGTTCAAGTAATTTGCTACCCTGGCAGTGCCAAATGACATTGAGAAGCTGAGCCACAGCAAACAAGATTTTAGCTGTGATGGTTTCATCTACTGAGTTATAGCTTTTATCTATTTGCTAAGAAAATGGATGAGAGTTTATTGTAATTAAAAAAACTCAATTACTGTACCTCTTCTATTTTCTTAGGAGAAGTTTCATTTTTATTACTTTTGAATTCTTCATTTATCTTTATTCTGGCTGCTAGAAAAACAAAGATACAGTTATTTGGTTTTCTAATATATAATAGCTATACCAATACTTAAATGTTATCCATTGTGATAACTGGCAGGCTACCGAATGTAACCTGCCCACACAGCAGAGTCTGGCAAACTCCCCGTGGCGTACCCAATATGCCAAATACCAATAACAATGATGGGTCTCATTCTCCTAACCCTGAAAGAGTCTTAAATATGGCAGTTTTTTAAAAATCTCAGGGCTAGGATGAAGGAGACATTACTGGGGCCTGCTCGAGGCAATCGACAAACAACAGGATGGTCATGATCGTCGTGATCCATTGTGATTACTTTTCTAATAGAGTAATCTTGTTCCACGTAAAGCAAGTATAAGCCTAAACAATTATTAAAGTACTACCTTGAACAGTTTTTGATACTCAGGTGAATTTGTGATTAAACCTGATATAATCCTTTATCATTCCAATACTTTTGTTTCTTGACTTTATTTCTAATTTCATTTGTTTATCTCTAACTCAGTGTTTTTCCCAAAGTGGGAAATACCATCTCACTTCCTCCCAAGAATGCTGGAGTCATTCAAGGGAGAAGTAGGAGCCTTGGGTGCAACTGGGTGAGGGGTACTTTGAGTGTTTGCTAAAAGACAGATTTCTAGGAGGATGCAGAGTTATGTTTTTGTTCTTCTGAAAAGGGGAGGCCAGTCAGTTAAGTTTGGAAACCTCTACTATGGCTAATACAATTCCAATAAGTTCAATCTAATGCTTTGTTTCAGAAAATCTAAAGATTTAACGTGGTTTTTTTTTTTTTTTGAGAAAGATGGAAGGGGAGTCCAAAGCAGTACTAGGGAGTCCAGAGGCCATTCCAGATTTGTTTGTTTGTTGGGCACACCTGGCAAAGCTCAGGGTTTACTCCTGGCTCTGCCCTCAGGGATCACTCCTGGTGGTGCTCAGAGGACTATATTAGATGCCACAAACCTGGGTTGGCTGTGTGCAAGACAAATGCCCTAACAGCTGTACTATTGCTCTGCCTCCTCAGTGTTTTTAAAGGTAAAAACACAATACACACAAGCATGTTAAATCTACACATATAAACAACATTTATAGAAAAAATAGGTAGTCTACATATATTTGAGAGTCCTGACATAAAATGAGCTATATATAAAACTATGCTCATATGTATCACTGAGACTTTAGCAAAACTACAACAGCATGATTTTTTTGTCTTGCTTATGGGGCAAGTCAGGCATCAAACACAGGACCACAGTGACTCATGTGCTCTACCATGAGTTACATCTCTGGTCCTCCACAACAGCGTACCTTGGTCTAATATGGTGCTCCAAGCTGCCTTATTATGTTTCTGTGAACAGTTAATGGAACAGTTGATGTAAAAGGCTAAAAAATATGCAGTTTTAGCTGTTATCAAAATTATTTTGGTTAAAAACCTTTAAAGGAGGTGCGAGGGGATGTGGCTTTGTGGTAGAACACCAAGGTGCCTGGCATGCATGAGGCCCCACGTTCAATCCCCAGCACCATCCCACACGCTGAGAGTGATCCTGGAAGCTATTTATGATTCCCAGCAGCACGACAAAGTATGATGTGGGACAAATTCTTACACATTTGGTCAATTTTCTCATCTGCAAAAAAAAAAAAGAATTATAGAGGCTGGGGCAATAGTTCAGCAGGTAGGGTGCTTGCCTTATAGTTGGCTGACCCAGGTTAGATACCAGCATCCCATATGATCCTGGTGCCACCAGGAGTGATCCCTGAGGGCAAAGCCGGGAGTAAGTCCTGAGCACCACTGGGTATGACAACCCCTCCCCACCCCCTAACCCCCATTATGAAAGTAACTACCTCACCTACCTCAAAGTGCTGTTATGAGAATTAAATGAGGAACTGTTGAAAATACATACAAACTTATACTTTTTTTTATTCCCCTGGGTCTCCCAACTGGTATCAAGGTTCAAAAGCTCTTCCTGGCAATTATCTGCCAATCAGCCTGGCAGTTCAGTCAATGTGAGGGACCAAAGATGTGATACTGCTTGGCCCTGTGGTGCTGGATATTACCTGGGCCACCTGTGGTGCTGGGGGAAACTCAAAACATATAGTCTAATATTCAGGAAATGATTTTTGGTGAATGACAAAATCTTTTATTTCTAGGGATAGTATCTGTCTGGCCTCTTAGAAAAACTTAGGTATAAGGACCAAACATGAGGCTGAGCTTCAGAGCTTTCATTACCAGATAACAGAAATAATCTCAAACAGTGAGATACTAAACTTGGCATAGTTTGGAATCGATTCTCTTTCATAGTCACTGTTACTTCCAGACTAACACAAAGCATAATAAGAATTTGGTCTTGAACAATGCAAAAATCTGATTTATTATATGAGAGAAATTACTTGGATATAGGCAAGGAATAGAGCACATTAAAATTGTGATGTTGGGGCCAGAGCAAAAGTACAGTAAGTAGGCATTTGCCTTGCACGCAGCCTACCTGGGTTCGATCCCCAGCATTCCACATGGTACCCCAAGCACCACCAGGGTAATTCCTGAGTACAGAGCTAGGAGTAAGCCCTGAGCATTACCAAGTATGACCAAAAAAGCCAAATAAATAAATAAATTTTGATGCTTTTCCCCACTGATTCTTTATGAAAAATCTCATTTTTAAAAAATGCTTTTTTTAAATAGACGTCACGGTCCTCCTGTTGTCCATCAATTTTGCTTGAGTGGCCCAGTAACATCTCCATCGTGAGACTTGTTGTTACTGTGTTTTGCATATCGAATACATCATGGGTAGCTTGCCAGGCTCTGCCATGCGGGGGAAATACTCTCAGTAGCTTGCCGGGCTCTCCGAGAGGGGCAGAGGAATCGAACTCGGGTCGGCCATGTTGGCTGCTTGTAAGGCAAATGCCCTACCGCTGTGCTATCGCTCCAGCTTTCTTTAAATATTACTCAAGAAGCCTAATATAATCGTTATAAAATATAAAATCGTTATAAAATATTGCGACATTAAAGGCCTTAGAGATAATATAGCAGGTAGGGCACTTGCCATGCAGCTGACCAACATTTGATCCTGGCACCTCATAAGGTCCCCAGAATCCTTTTAGGAGTAATCTTTGAGCCAGAAGTAAGCCCTGAGCATGCTGGCTATGGTCTCAAGACAAAAATTAATGAATATAAAATAAAATACAGCAACATTAGGAAAAAAGCCAAGGTCAACTAAGATGGTTCTTGACCATACAATAGGAATTCTAGGACTAAGGAACAACTATCTAAAAAACTGATTTGCGGGCTGGAGCAATAGTACAGCTAGTACAGCAGGTAAGGTGGTTGCCTTGTACACTGCCAACCTGGGTTTGACCCCTGGAAACCCATATGGTTCTCTAAGCACTGCCAGGGTTGATTTCTGACTGCAGAGCCAGGGGTAAGTCCTGAGCATCATCAAGTGTGGCCCAAAACAAAACAAAACAAAATAAATAAAAACTAATTTGCTCCAAGGGGATAAAAAACAAACTACTTACCTCTTAATGCTTTGACATCATTTTTAAAAACTTCTTGTCTGGTCCTGTGCAATGTTTTAAAGAGCTGTAAAACCTGTAAAGAAAATCAGAATTCATACCTCAAAAGTGAAATTTAAAAAATTTTACAGTTATAAGCATTGAACTGTATTGCCTCCCTCCCTCCCCCCTGGCCCAGACTATTATTCAAAATAGCTGATGAAAACAGTTTGCCAAAATAGCACTCCCTTTATTATCTTTAGATTTAAAAAATGGATTTACAAAAATAACACAATGTTGACTGAAACAAAACAGTAAGAATGTTAAAATATTAATGCCACAGGGTGAGATAGCTCTGGCGAGTGGAGGTACCTTCTGCCCACCTGAGGGATGGAGCACATGCCATGCATGCACAAGGAGGTCCCACGTTTGACTCATAGCACACGCGGCTCCCAGAGGACTACTGGGTGTAACTCTCTGATGTGCCCTGAGTAATGCTAGGAAGTTCCTTTCACACAAAAAAACCAAATATTTTGCCTGCTAAGGAAACTAACCTTACTAGTCTGAATCATATGTTTTACTTTGCTTAACATACCGAGGGATTTACCTGCTCTTAATATCAAACACACATACATGGATTTATTTCTTCTTGAGATATTGTTATTGTTGTTTTTGGGCCACACCCAGCAGTGCACAGGTCTTACTCCTGGCTCTACACTCAGGAGTTCTCTTGCCAGCACTCAGGGGACCATATAGGATGCTAGGGATCAAATTTAGGTTGACTTCATGCATGACTTCATGCCCTACCAGTTGTACTATCTCTCCAGCCCCTAACAGAGATATTGAAAGAAGATATTTCAGATAATTAGGTAGATGCAATTCTAATTTCTGAAAAGAGGAACGCTATGACTTATTTTAAGACTAGTTATAAAAAAAAGTAGAGAGGGGTCAGAGAACACAGAACTAAAGGCATTTGCCTTGCATGTGGCCAACCCCAGCTGGAATCCCTAGTACCATATGGTTCTCAGAGCATGGCCAGAAATCACTCCTGAGCACCAAGACAGGATTAGGTGTAACCCTGGCTCCCCCACCCTCCACACCTTGCCTCATCAAAAAAAGTAGAGAGAGGCTGTGTATATGAGCCGGCAATTCCACTCCTGGATATCTAGCTCCAGGATGAAAGACATTCATTCAAAAAAGATACATGCACATATTTAACTCATTATAGCACTTAGTACAGATAAGGAATCAAGCAAGGTATCCAATGATAGATAAGTGGATCATGAATATGTGGTACATATACACAATGGAATACTATGCAGCTTTAAGGAAAGATGAAATCATGCAATTTGCTGCAACAAGGATGAAACTGGAAGGTATCATGTTAAATGAAATAAGCCAGAAGAAGAACAAACACAGGACTCACTTATAAATTGTATACAGAATAACTGGATGAGGGGTCAGGGCGAAAGTACACTGGGTAGAGCACTAGCCTTGCATATGGCTGATGCAGGTTCTATCCCTAGCGTGCTATATGGTCCCCGAGCACTGCTAGGAGTGATTTCTGAACAGAGACCCAGTAGTAATTTCTAAGCACAGCCGGGTGTGGCCCCCAAACAAAAATAAATAAAAGTAAGAGCTAGAACTCAGAATGGTACCTGGTTTGCAAAGAAATATCACTGTGAAAATTCATGGTACAATGTCTTCTAGTTTGGGGGCCAGAACAATAGTACAGCCGATAGGGTGTTTGCCTTGCATGCAGTCGACCTAGGTTGGATCCCTGGCATCCCATATGGTCCCCCAAGCACTCTCAGAATTCCTGAGTGCAGAGCCAGGAGTAATCTCTGAGCATCGCTAGGTGTGACCCAAAAAACAAAAAAAACAAAGCAAAACAATGTCTTCTAGTTTTAAAATTGTTGAATTTTAGTTTTGTTGTTGTTGTTTGTTTTGGCGGTGCTCAGAGGTTACTCCTGGTTCTGCATTCAGGGATTTTTCCCGGCAGTGCTTTGGGGAACCATAGTGGATGCTGGAGATCAAATCTGGATTGGTCACATGCAAGGCAAACACCCTACCTACTGTACTATCACTCTGGTCCCTAAAAGTGTCAAACTTTGAACAGTATATATAGTCAAACTACCACCTCATTACAAGGATAAAATGGAATTTTCAGAAATGCAACGTCTCTGATTTTCTGTATCTCTTTTCCTAGATAGCTATAGAATTTTCTTACCAAAACAAGGAGATCAACCACAAAGGAAAAAAAATGTGGAGATTAGGGAGACAGATGATTGATCTACCATAAGAGAAGCAGAGATGACAGTAAAGAACAAGTACAGATCAGTATTTGTGCAATCTAGAAAATAGTAAATCTGCACTATCACAAAAACATTAAATTGCTCCAAAAAATACTTCATTAGGGAAAAAAAAACTGAAACTTACAGACTTCAGTTAAGCTCAGAATTTGGAAAAGTAGAAATCCAACCAACGATAATACAAATAAGGGATTGATTAATTTCAAGAAAAACTAAGAATTAGAAAAGATAGTACAGTCATATATATTAAAGGTTTCAGCTGTGAAAACGTTGCATGGAGTTATAATAATATCAAAGATAAAAATGAGATCCAGAGTGATAGTTTAACAGGTAGGATGCTTGCTTTGCAAATTGGCACTGCATATGGTCTCCTGAGCCCTGAAAGAGTGAAACCTGAGCGCAGAGCCAGGAATAAGCCCTGGGCATTACTGGGTGCCACCAAAAATCTCTATACTGCCACCCCTCAAAAATCTATTCACAGGGCAGGAAAGACAGCTCAAAGGGCTAAAGTACAAGCTTTTTGTGCAGGAGGCTCAGATTAGATTCCTGGCACTGCATGATTCTCTAAGCACCAATGGGAGCAGCCCCTGAGCACTGCCAACATACAAAATAACAAGCAAAAGGGGTCACCAAAATTGTATATTCAGAGGACAAAGGCAAATGGAGGGCGAAGTCAGCAATTTACATAGTTAAAGTCAATAAATTTTATCCTCAGGGTGGGAGGGGAGAAATCAATAAATAGTAGTTAAAGCATGACCCTGAGAAGCATAAAGGCAAATATCAAATAGTAACTGATTTTAAAAAAAACTTATTTCTTAAGTAGCAGGAATATGTAGAAGTAGAGGATATTCACCAATTTCTATTTTATCTCTCAAATGTCTCATTTATCATCTTTTTTTGTTTTGCTTCTGGGCCACATCTGATAGGTGCTCAGGGCTTATTCCTGACTCTGCACTCAGGAACCACTCCTGACAGGCTCAGGGGATCATATGGGATACCAGGGATCTAACCCAGTTTGGTCATGTGTAAGGCAAGCAGCCCCTACCCACTGTAGTATTGCTCAAGCCCAATGATTTATCATCTTTATGAAACTACAAATCCTTTGTTTCCCTGTAAAAAGGGATCAGAGGGTTAGAGAGATAGTACAGGGGGAAAGGCATTTGTCTTGATGTAGCCAACACTGGCTTGATCACTGACACTGTGTATGATTCTCCAAGCACCACCAGGAGTGATCCTTGAGCACAGAGCCAGGAATAAGCTCTGAGCATCACTGGGTATCCAAATCCTCACAAACACAAAAGAAATTTCTGAGGAGAAAGGACGTTATCAAAAATGGTAACCCATAGAATTTTTTTTTATTTCAAATCATCTTTCCAATAAAAGTCTAGAATCTGTAACATAGACTTTTTGAAACTCAACAATATAAAAAGAGACAAATGATTTGAATAGACATTTTCTCAAAGAACAAAAGTCCAGAGAGATATCAATCACAACTACTACTGGGGAAATATTAGTCTAAACTTTAGCAACACATTTCTTCACTCCAATAGGATGACAATGTGAAAAAAATAAAACATAACAAGTGCTGGCAGGATGAAGTAGAATTCATATATCATTGGTGGAATGTAAAATGCTGTAACTGCTTTGGAAAAGTTTGGTAGGGGCTGGAGCAATAGCACAGCGGGTAGGGTGTTTGCCTTGCACACAGCCGACCCGGGTCCCCTGAGTACCACCAGGAGTGATTCCTGAGTACAGAGGCAGGAGTAACCCCTGAGCATCGCTGCATGAGACCCAAAAAGCAAAAAAAAAAAAAAAAAAAAAAAGGTTGGTAGACATCCACAAAGTTAAACAGAATTATATGACCTAAGAGCTTCATATCCAGATATATGTATTTGTATACATAAATATGAGAAATCAAAAGATTTCACATGAAAATTTTATACATAAATATTTATAATAACACTGTTGTAGTAAGAAGAGTCAGAAACAACCCAAAAATATCGATTTATGATTGGGTAAATAAAATGTAATACATTCATATAGTTTTGGCTTGAATTGTCTCTTTGCCATCATCCCCCCACAAAAGACATGCTGAAGTCCTAATCCCCAGTACCAAATGTGACCTTACTTGGAAACCATCTTTGCAAAAATAATCAATTTAAGATGAGGTCATGGGTATGAGACCTAATCCAATGACTAATATCTTGTTGAAAGAGAAGAGACATTGGGAGGAGACCACCATATGATGATGAAGGTAGAGGTTGGAGTGACATAACAGCATACCATGTAATAACAAGGATCAATAGCCACTATTGGAAGCTAGGAACAAATGAAAGTATTTTGTTTTGATGCTTCACACACACATAAGGTAAGCACTCTATTGCTTAAATACCCAGGAGGATTCTTCCCCAAATTACAGAGGGAGTTTGGCTCTTCTGGCACCTTGATTTCAGATTTCTAGATTCCAGAACTGAGATAATAACTATTGTTTTTAATCTACCTAGTTTGGTTACTTTGAGCACCTATACATAACTAATACGGATTTTGGTACTGGGAAATGGGATGCCAATATAACAAGTATCCAAAATATAGAAGTTGGGCTAGAAAATACAGAGGTTAAGGGGCTTACCTTGTGTGTGATCAACAATGATTCCACAATGGGTATCCTGAGCACAGCCAGGAGTAAAAATTCATGGGACCATATGTGGTGCCAGGGACAGAACCTAGTTTGGCCACACGTAAGGAAGCGCCCTACACATGGTACTATCTCTCTGGCCCCCTGCTTTCATAAAGTACATTTTTGCATCCCTCCAGGTAAGTTAAATCAGTTAAATTCTCCTAAAATAAACTTTAAAAAATTCAAAACACTTGCTATAATTGTAATTATATGCACTTAATCCTTGAACTGCAGAATGCACCAGAACTAAATTTTTTCCAATAGCTAGTCTCTATATCCAGGAATTTCCTTCACGGAGGGTCTGGGGTCTCCTCCTTTGTGGGGAGTTTAGAACCCCGGGTACGGACACTCCAACTTTCTAGATTCAACCACAATGGGAAAAGTGTCTTGGATAAATTTTTATGACGGGAATTCACGTAGGAGCTATAGGAGACTTGATCATTTTTTCAGAGTTTTGGTGCAGGGAAATCCTAATGGGAGTCCCCACAAACACCAAGGAACAACTGAAGTTAAGTTTTAGGAGTGTCAAAAGCATACTCAGGACAGCACAAAGTCAATTCCCCTATCCCCCCCCCCCCATTGCTCAAGGTTCATTTGTAATTGTTTAAAATTTTCCACCCTGGTAGGTTTCTGTATGAACGCAAAGATGGTCTTTTTATTGTTGCAACTACTGTGCCTAGGCAATATAGCATAAGTGTTGGATTATAGGCCATCCATATTGTACTATTATTATTACCAAGAGGTTGAATCCAGGACTTCACACATAGTGACACTTGTACTCAACCATGGAGCTATACTGGAGCTTTTTTAAAGTATTGTTAACAGCCTATGGGCACAGAATTTTGGGGGCGGGGGGGGGGGGCAGGAGTGGTTGAGCCACACCCAGAATGCCCAGGAGTTATTCTGGCTTTGGTCTCAGGAGTGACCCCTGGAGGCGCTGGGAATCCGTATGTGGTACTGACCAGGGGTCAGTAGCAGTCAAAGCAGATGCTTTGCCTCCAGCCCCACCCCCTCCTCTTTTTGCAGGGTCCGGGTGTGATCCATATAATAATTTTTTTTAAGTGAATAACCCTTTACCACTCGATTCTACTGGCTGTGACATATATCGAAATTTACTTAGAACATCAAAGCACAACTTTTCCATACAATATTGCAGCAAGCCACTTTCTGCCTTGATTGCATAGGTTTCAGTCAATGACAGGAGCTGGTGCCGACCTGGCACACGACAGCACTGAGTTGCTGAGAACCGTGCCCAGGTCAGTTCATTTGAAGACTAAAACTGAAGCCGGGTCCTCGGGAGATGATACGGGTGCGACCACCACTCCCCATGCACACACAGCGTGACTGCAGTTCCGGTTAATATTATTTTTAGCAACGGATTTTTGCCGGGACTCAGTCTCCTTTGTCTTTATGCCTGTAATGCATCTTCTGGTGGGCTGACTGAACCAGTCACCTTTTCGGATGGCAGGAGCGCCGGACGGCTTAAGGCGCCTAACATCCTCAAGAGTCTGGAAATGGGCCTCTCCCATAGTCTGGAGATGAAACTGGAGTCAAAAGCCTAAGTAAAGACCTTGCGACCCGGAAAAACACTCGCAAGCCCGCTAGACTGAGAAGCGGGGACCAACCCTGCCTCCCACCAACCCTGCCTCCCTCCCACCCTCCTCGTCCTCTGCACAAACTTTTGAAAAACCTTCGCGGCGGGTCTGGGGTCTCCTCCTTGTGGGGAGTCTAGAACCCCGGGTACGGACACTCCAAACAATCTTCTCAAAGGTCGCGCTCTTACCCTCCCCGTTTGCATGGCATCCACCCCTTCTCCAGCCCTGTCACCTTGGCTGCGTGGCCCATGGCTCTCCCCGCCGATGCCACCACCTCACAAGCGGGCCAGTCACCCCGCCAACCAATCATTGTTCGTCTTGCCCGGTCCAATTTCCCGTGGCCACGTTCCTAACGCGGCGTAACCAATCACCAGGCAGCATCATTCGTAGCCCCGCCTTCCACGAGGAACTGTAAATGCAAAACCGGGACCTTCTGGTAAAACCGCGAGAAACCTCCGACCAGAATTCCTGCGAGGAGAACGGAAATCACCTGAGCGCCATCTTAATTAGGGGCAGAGCTACTTCCGGTTTCTGGTTGCAGCTTCTAATTGGGGAGGGTGGATTGACTTCTCATGAGTGGTTTGGTACCAGTGTTAACTGCTGTTTTTGTTTTGGGACCACACCCGGCTCTGCACGCAGCAATATTCTCCTGGCAGTATTCAGGGGACCATAGGGGATGCCGGCGATCGAACCTAGATCCACGGCGTGCCAGGCAAACGTGCTACCCCCTGTACTGTCGCTCCAAGCCTCCGAGTTAACTTTTATTTGGGGATTGGGCTGGCTATTGAAGAAAGTCCTCTCGAGCTAGCCACCCTTTTAACGTTTCACAGTGCAGCTGTCTCCATGCAAAAGGACCTAGTGCTTCTCTTTTTTGTTTTCTTTTGTTTTTGAGCATACTCAAGTGCGAAGGTGCATACATAAAACTAGTTGGGGCGATGGTCGAGAGACTGAAGCCACCGTAGGAGCCTGGCTTAGCAAGGTGCTTCAAGCAACCGCGCCAGAAATGGCAGAGTGCTGCAGAATGTCACCCCATCTCTCAAAAGAGCTAAGACCTAGTGGCTGTTTCTGAAATACTGACTCCCCAAAGTGCTATTCACATACTACGATTTAACTTCTTTAGAAGGTGAGGGGGATTTTAACTTGCTCTGAACTCTACAACTAGCATATGGAAGGTGTGGGAAACAAATCTCAGTACCAGAAATCCTAGACATATATATATATATATACATATATATATATATTGCTTACTCGACTTGCCCTATTCCTTGGTTCCTACCGAACATGCGGTAGGAACATGGAATTTATTAACACAATTTTGATCATAAACAATAATGAAACATGAACTTAAATTCACTTTAAAAACAAAAGGCGAAACATTTATATGAACCCAAAAGAAACCAGAATATAAATTCACTTTTAACTTAGAACCTTGCAAGCACCAAAGAAAATTTCATCCTCGTTCCCACTGCATAAGCGTTGTTTGCCTTCCTTAGCCCACAGCCTTCTGGTCACCGTTAGGTAAAACTGACTTTATATTAGGAATGATTTATTTGGACTAATGAATCTTCAAGACTTTTCCTTCTCTCTGATAAGTCATTTTAGGGAACACTGCAAGTCCTCATGAAAATAGCAATGTAGTAACTGACTTGATTAAAATGCAAGATGGTTCAGGGGTGGAGGTACCTGCTTTCTATGCAAGAGGCAGGAAATTCAAACTCCTTGCTCATTCCCCTACTCCCATCCCCCCACTCCCATGCCAAGTATATTTCTTGCAGCGCTGTCTTTAGTGATCACAGGTGTCACTACAAAAGCATGTTTTTGAACACATAGAAACGAAACGTGTGTGACACCCCAACTGTGCACTCCCTCCAGCAAGCATCACAACCAAGTGTGCAGTCCCTGTCACTGAACTGACCAGAAAAGGTGGGAGGGGCACATTAGATTCGCTGGAGCGATAGCACAGCGGTAGGGCGTTTGCCTTGCACGCAGCCAACATAACATCAAGCAATCAAATCAAATGTATTGGGTACCTGTTTTGTTTTTTTAATTTTGGGCCACACCCTGCAGTACTCAAGGATTACTCTTGGAAGTGCTCAAAGGACCATATGCAGCGCTGGGGATTTGTTTTAGTTCAGTGAAACATAATTTAGACTTTTGGATCACACCCCATGATGCACAGGAGTCATTAAATGAAGTGCTGGTTATCAAACCCAAGAAAGTATGTGCTCCAGCCCTTATCTATTTTGACTTTTGAGACATACCTGGCAGTGTTTTAGGTCTAATCCTAGCTCAGTTCTGGGGCTGTTCCTGGTGACACTTTTCTCTTGGGGGTGGGGGGAACCACACAGTGCCAGTGCTGTTAATCAAATCCAAGCTTCCAACTTACAAAGAATGTGCACCTGTTCTTTGAGCTGTCTTTTTGGCCTCTAAGCCGCCCCCTTTAGTTTTTAATAACAATTTCACTCTTTTAGAAGTTACAAGAATAATTAGAATTTTCATATGCCTTTCATTCACATTCTACAAATGTAAACATTTTTCTACAATTGTTTTATTATTTCTTTCTGTAGAGGGTTTTTTTTTTAATCTTCATACTTAGGTGAGGTTTTTTTTTTTCTGTTTAAAAAAAAATACACGTGGCTGACTCCAGTTCTGTTTGAATCCTGAATACTGTAGATGAACTCCCACGTACTGCCAGGAGTGATTCTTGAGTACTCCTGAGTGTGGTCCCAAAATAAAATAAGACATTCTTATACATTTGTGGTTCTCAAAGTATGCTTCCTGGGTCAGGGCAGCTTTAGAAGAAGTTTATTTATTTATTTGTTTAATAATTTTATTTATTGAATCACTGTGAGAGCAGTTACAAAGCTTTCAGGTTTAAGTCTTGGTTATACAGTGAAACACCCATACCTTCACCAGTGCCCATTCTCCACCACCAAAAACCCCAGTATGCCCCCATCCCACACCCTCCCCCTACCTGTGGGACAGATGATTTCCACATTACTCTCTCTCTACTTTTATTACATTTAATATTTTGACACCTGACCCACCATTATTATTTGGGATTTTACCCCAACACTTGGATCTGCCAAAAAGGCAACAGTAGACAATTTGTTTTCTATTGCTGGTTAAGAATAACATATGATGTTGTGCAGCTGTAGTAGTAGCTGCACGATTTTGAAATTCCGAAATTTTAACAATTAAATCTAGAGGGATTTCTGCCAAAACCTGCGGGGTTCTGAGATTTGTTCCTGAGTCTCTGGGATCATGGCCATTAAGCAGCTTGATCAGGAGCCAGAAAGGCTGTTTGTGGGCAGCAACTCGGGTCTTGTTGGGACGGGGAGAAAAGGGCCGGCTCTACCTTCATCCCGTGAGGCCCCGCATGTCTCATCACTGCAGGCCCAAAGCTGACTGTCCAATGGCCTCTGGCGGATGGTGGCCACCGAACCGCCAAGGGGGAGTAGGTGAACGGACAGCACCCTTTCCCCCTGGGGTGGCCCAGCGACAGTAACCTACTGTGAGGTCCAGACACATTTCTGCCAAAAGCCACTGGGTTCCTAGATTTGTTTCTGAGTCTCTGGGATCATGGCCGTTAAGCAGCTTGATCAGGAGCCAGAGAGGCCATTCGTGGACGGCGACTCAGGGTCTTGTGGGGACAAGGAGGAAAGTGCTGGGTTGGTTCTGATGGTGCCCAGTACTGCATAGTCAGAGAAACACTGCATACTTAGGCCTTCACATTGAACCACCAGCCCAGTTGACCAAGAATGGCAGGAAAGGACATCTGGGCCTCCTGAACATGACTTGTGAGGCCTCCTCTCAAAAACCAAAAACAAAACAACAGGGACACTAGAAATAATCTTTTGTTTTGTTTTGGGGGCCACACCCAGCAGTCACGAATCACGAATCACGACCATCCTGTTATTCGTCGATTGCCTTGAGCAGGCCCCAGTAACATTTCCTTCATCCTAGCCCTGAGATTATATTCAAGGCTCTTTAGGAGAATGAGACCCATCATTGTTACTGGTATTTGGCATATTGGGTACGCCATGGGGAGTTTGCCAGACTCTGCCGTGTGGGCAGGCTACATTCGGTAGCCTGCCAGTTTGTCCAAAGTAGGAATGAGATAATAAGATGTCATAATAAGATGTCATAATAATAAGACATTATATTATGACACCCAGCAGTGCTCAGGGTTAATTCTTGGCTCTGTGCTCAAGGATCATTCCTGGTGGACTGAAGGAACCACATGGGGTTCACGGATTCCATTTGGGTTGGCCGCCTCAAGATAAGTACCCTAACCATTGTGTTATCACTCTAGCCTTTGGAAATTATTATTATTTTTGGAGGGCCACACCCACCTTTGCCCAAGGATCACTCCTGGCAGTGTTTAGGTGCCAGAGGCATATGGTTCCAGGGATTAAATCAGGTCTGCCACATGGAAGGCAAACATTCTACCCTATTATACTATCTCTCCAGCCCTGGGACAACAGAAATCAAAACTATGACCAAAACTGGTCATAGTCAATAATTAAGACAGGGTGGTAAAGTATGATCAGATAGCACAGTCCAGGAGACTAGTTCATTTTTCTTAATAAGGTCATTTAGCAGTTGTCAGTTATAGCAGAGAGCCTGAAATGGAACATACTCAGATATCTGGGGACAAAAGTCTCACTGTGAAGGAGGAATAGAATCCAGAGAGGTCGGAGATGGTAATCGCTGAAAAGATTGATCACCAAGTGGGAAATGCCAAAAGGGCTGGAATGATGGGAATTACCTATTCTGTTCTTTAGTGACCTTGACATTTTATGTATAACAATTTTCCTCACAGGTGAAAGTGAGGAAGGGGAACGATATAGTGACAAACTTTTTAAAAGAAGCAAAGAAAGATAAGAAGGAAGATAGGGGGTTGAGGAAGGTTTTCTTCTTTTAAGATGGGTCACATCTTTCATTTTGACTTCTGCTGGTAAATTTTTCTTGTAGAACAAACTACAGATGCCTGTCTTTAATCCCTAGAGACTGATTTAATTGATCTGAGGCACAGTTAGTTTCACGGGGATTTTTAAGGAGCTTCCCAGGTGGTTTTTACCTGCAATCAAGGTTGAGAATCACTGCTAGAGGGGTAAGAACCAATGGAGGGTTTCATTGCTGGAGCCAGGATCTGATCAGTTAAAATTGACCTGTCTCAGTGCAAAGTGGACCAGCCCTGCTAGGGTCATGGCATCTTTCCTTTTACAGCATACTTTTTTTTTTCCATTTTTGATCTTTTATTTTTATTTAAAAATTTTTTTTAGTTGAATCACTGTGAAACAGACTCTTACAAGCTGTTCATGATTAGGTTTCACTCAGTGTTCCAACACCCATCCCTCCACCAGTCCATTTCCTAGCGCCAGTGTCCCCCAGTTTCCCTCCCATCACCCCCCCTCCTTCCCTCCCTCTTTCTCTCTCTCTCTTTTGGGCATTGTGGTTTGCAATACAGATGACAGTAGCACTGTAGCACTATCCTCCCATTGTTCATGGATTTGCCCAAGCAGGCACCAGTAAGGATTTACTTGTTGAGATTTACTTGTGAGACTTGTTACTGTTTTTGGCATATCGAATACCTCACAGGTAGCTTGTCAGGCTTTGCCAGGTGGGCGAGATACTCTTGGGTAGCTTGCTGGGCTCTCCGAGAGGGGCGGAGGAATTGAGCCCGGGTGGGCCCTGAGCAAGGCAAACGCCCTACCCGCCGTGCTATCGCTCCAGCCCACAGATTATAGCAGACTTTAAAAATTTTTTGCAAACAGTGCCTATCAGGCCTACTGTGAAGAAAGGCTTACACCTGTAACTCCACTCCAAGAGACAAGAAAGGGAGAAAAAACGACCTTTGGAAAAAAAAAAAAACCGACCTTTGGTCCCTGGCGCGGGTACAACGCTCAGGGACCTAGGCTCAGGCGCCTCGCCCCGCGGGGCGGTATCCCCAGGGCGCGTGCGCAGGCCGGGGTGGCGGCGCGAGCTGCGGTCCCCGCGCAGGCTGCGCCCCGCGCTCCCGCCCTCGACCGCTTCCCCGGCTCCTCCCTCCTCGCGAGCTTCTCCCCGGCGGCCGCGCGGGCGGGAGGCAGAGATGGCAGATGAGATCGCTAAGGCTCAGGTCGCCCAGCCCGGCGGCGACACCATCTTCGGGAAGATCATCCGCAAGGAAATCCCGGCCAAAATCATTTATGAGGATGACCAGGTGGGCCCCGAGCGCGGTCCCCGCCGGGGGTCGGACGGGCTCGGGCGGCGCCGCCGAGAAGCTGCGGGCCCGCAGCCAGCGGGGCAGGACCGCGGCCGCTCCGAGGCGGCCTGGCGGCGCGTGCGGCCGCTCCGGTTACGCCTTATCAGTGCCGGGCGCGGGCCGGGCCGCCCGGCGCCCTTGGGGCCCGACCCCTGGGGTCTGAGCGCGCGGGCAGGGCACGCCGGCCCCTCGGCCTGGTCGCCGCCGCCTCTGCGGCCGCCCCGTCGACCTCGCCCGCGCCGGGAATCCAGCAATCTCGCCGTCGCTCTGCCCGGCCGCGGGAAACCCGATCGCACCCTGACTCGGGCCCAATCTCCGCGATCTCCCGCGCGCGGCGGGCCTGCCGGGGTGTTGCCCGGGACCTCCCCGCGCCTCCCCGCGGGCCTGGGATCGCGCCGCTCCCCCTCTGCGATCCGCACCCCCACCCCGCAGTGCGGGCCGCGCCGGGCCCTGGCGAGCCTCGCTCTCTCCTTTGACCCAGGAAGTCCGATCGCACTTGAGAAAACAGACGCGTACTTGTTTGTACTTGAGGGGAAGCGATTTTATGCCAAGGGGGACTCTAAGCTGGTAGATCTTGTAGATTTCATTGCAGGCGAAATTCTGTTTTAGAAAAGGTCCGAGCTGGTGTGACTTTTGAGGAATCTTGTGTAGTCACGTAAAGCTGGGCGGGAAATTGTGTGGTTTTAGAGAGGAAAGGCTTTGAAAGCTTTATGTTAAATTATTTTACGAAATATGAGTTAGACCCTCACCCCGCCCCCGCCCCCCGCGTTTTCCCCTCACCCCGTTTCTCCCCCCTCTACTCCCCGCCCAGCACCGCGGCTAGTGGCCCCAGCTTCTCAGCGCTGCTTGGGAGGTCCAAAAGGAAGAAGATATATATATATGGGAAATGAGAGGAACAGCCAGTAGGCAGTATGTGTTACGAGCAGCGTTCTTTTTGTTCTCGTTTTGGGCCACACCCGGAAATGTTCAGGGCTTCCTCCGGGCTCTAAGCTCAGGGATCACTCCTGGTGGGGCTCGGGGGACCGTATGGGATGCTGGGAATCAAACCAGAGTCTGCAGCGTGCAAGACAGACACCCTCCCGCAGTGCTGTGGCTCCAGCCCAGAACAGCATTCTCAGATTTGAAACCTTATCTAAGATTTAAATAACTCCCCAAAGGTGAGTTTTATTTAGATAACTCTGCCACCTGTTAGGGCAGCTCTGTTGTTTTAGAAATTACATACTTGCCTTTAAAATATTTTCAGGACTTTTCATAAATGTTCGTTGAAATACCGACCTTTGAGTCAGTTTTGAAATCCAGTAGTGCAGCAGCATGAAGTGGTCTAAGCGTGCATTTCTGTTTGTGCGTTGTGTATGGAGTCTGTCCAGATGGATCCTGTAGAGACAAGCTAGCAACCATTGGGTCTGGTCTGTCAAGCAGCCTCCACCTTAAGTGGAAAAAGAGACACAAAGATGAAAGTGGAAATTTTCACACAGTATAAATAATTTGTATAAATGCTTCTTTTTCTCATTGTTTCTACAAAAGAGAGTAGGCTTTAAAAAAACAAACAAATAAACGACAAACCATGGTGTATTTTCTTTGGCTTTTGGGGAGGCCACATCTGGCTGTGCTCAGGGATTACTCCTGGCAGGCTTAGGGCATCATATGTGGTATCATTGTATCACTGTCGGTTTGCTGGAGTGGGTGCCAGTAATGTCTCTATTCGTCCCTGTCGTGTGCTAGTGTAGCCTGATGGTGTATTGGGGGGTCTTTCATGGTCAGGGGAATGAGGACCGTCATTGTTACTGCTTTTGGCATATTGAGTTTGCCATGGGTAGCTTGCCGGGCTTTGCCATGCTGGCGGGATACTCTTGGTAGCTTGCCGAGAGTACCATATGTGGTAGGGGGGATCAAACCCTGGTTGGCTGTGTGCAAGGCAAATGGCCTACCCACTGTATTATCACTCTGGCCTGGAGAGGTTGATGTTTTCACAAATAGACAAGGTGGTAAGTAATAGTATTAATCACCTTTTAGACTCAGACCATTGTGATAATGATCACTGTGCGAATGGAATCAAACCCAGACTTAGGGAAGGTGAAGGAGAGAAGTGATGGATGTGCAAGGACCTGAGGAATGAGTAGCGGTGGTCTCTGATCAAAGTTGGGGTTTGGATTGGGATTGGAGGGGGGCGCAGAGAATCACTGTAGCAGGATGAAGAGCAATTGAAAAAGCCTATGCGGGGTGGGGGGCAGAAAGATGGAAGACTGCTGAGCATGGAGAGCTGCAGAAGAGACTGGAAATGTGCCTAAGTTAACAGGCATAATTACTCCTCATGCTTTGGAGCTCTGTTTTTGTTATTTTGGTTGTTTTGGAGCCACACCTGGCTGTGCTTAGAGCTTGCCTCCTGACTCTGCACTCAGATCACTCCTGGTGAGGTGGTGGGGGGGGGGGTGGTACCATATGTGGTGCTGGGGTTAGAACCCCAGTGGCGACATGTAAGTCAAGTGCCCTACCCACTGTACTATCCCTCCAGCCCCTTGGATCTCAGTTCAAACATTGCTGCCTCAGGGTGTTTGTCCCTGACTTCCTAATTCTTTTGTAACTATCAGATCTTCAGTTAATTACATGCCTTTATTTGTTTCCAGACAGCCTTCCCTGTAGACTCAATTCCATGAAAAGAACTAAGGAACCACATTTTATTGTATATATTTCATAACACCTGATGACCACTTCAGTGCCGTTCATGAGATTATGGGGAAAGAATAAGCTTATCGTGTAAGATGATATACTAAAACACTGATATTTTCCTCTATTTTTCCCTAGTGTCTTGCTTTCCACGACATTTCCCCTCAAGCACCAATACATTTTCTGGTGATACCCAAGAAACCAATAACCCAGATTTCTGCAGCTGAAGATGAAGATGAAAAGGTATGTATATGACTAACATAATTTTCTTGCTTTTTTTAAATATGGAAACTAAATTTTGGTTTTTGTTTTTGTGCCATACCCAGTATCACTTGGGGTCACTTCCAGAGATTTTGGGGGGACCATGTGGTAACAGGGATGCACTGTAACCATCTCCCTTGCGTCTCACACTGAAAATTTTTAATTTTAAAATCTTTGTAACTTATTTATTTAGTTATTGGTTTTTGGGCTATCCACTCCTGACTCTGCCTTGATAAATTACTCTTGGTAGTGATTAAGGGACTATATGGGATGTTTGGGATCGAACTTGGATTAGCTGCATTCAAGATAAGTGCCCCACCTGCTGGACTACCTCTTAAGTCCTGTTATGAACATAGGTGTGCACATATCCATTTGAATTCATGTGTTTTGGGGATAGATACCAAGAAATTGTAGCACTGAGTCATATGAACATTCTCTTTCTATTTTTGAGAGCTCCCTATTGCCTTCTGTAGAGGGTAAACAGATGGTATTCACACCGATAGAGTATGAGGATTTCTTTCTCACTAACAGACCACACTGGCTGTTTCCAAGACTTTTTGACATAAAGGAGCATGCTTTTTAAACTAAATTGTTGGGGTCCCATAGTACATAGTAGGGCACAGTGGGATTCCCTGAGCCTTGAGAGGGGCAAGCCCTAAGTATAGCTGGATGTTGCCCTAAAACCAAGCGAATTAAGTTTCAGATTATTTATTTATGTATAAATGAAAATGATAGGTATTGCAGTTTCCTTTTTTTCTTTCTTTTCTTTCCTTTTTGGGTCACACTTGGTGATGCACAGGGGTTACTCCTAGCTCTGCACTCAGGAATTACTCCTGGCGGTGCTCAGGGGACCATAAGGGATGCTGGGAATAGAAGCCAAATTGGCCACATGCAAGGCAAATGCCCGCTGTGCTATCGCTCTAGCCCAGCTATTTCTTTTGAAGAAAACCAAATCTTAGAGCTAAAAGGGGACTTTAGATCTTAAATAATTCAATAAACTAAAAATACTTAGAAGGCTGGTATATTTTCTAAATATACTTCTTTAAGCTGTAACTTTCATTATGAATAAATTGATTCTAAAGTACATATTTTATTAAAATGCCAGTATCCTTAAAGATTAAGTCGATAAAGAAAGAAAAGAAGATTGCCTGATAACAATATGCTACTGTAATCTAAGATCTCGGTATTACTTTAATAGTATTTTTTCCCCACAATTTAAACATAACTGCTAACTTAAGTACTATAAAATGATGGTGTAGTTTAAATTAGTAGTTCTTGGAATGCCAAAGAAATTTTCAGCTTTTTCCCCTCCCACTACCATTATTTGTTTCTTTTCTATTGTCTTGGAAAGTCCTATGAGACTGGTTTACAAGTATAAGATGTTTTAGAGGCTGCAAAATACAGAGATGATTTATCACAAGGGCTATATTGTATTTTGATTCTTAATAGAGAAGAGCATTCAGGAAACCAAGAGACCATTTGAAGAATAGCACTCACCCTTTATTCTCTTATAAAAGCTGGGACAGAACATTGAGCTATTGGCTTGCTCTTAACCACATGATTGCAAAGAACTTCTTCAATTTGAATGCTTTTCTAAGTTCCAGAGCTGACATTGTTTTTTTGGTAATAGTGGATGTGAGAGAGAATTTTTCTTAACCTTGACTTCTTCAGTTGGTTCAACTGGTCTGTTCAAATAAGGAAAAGAAAATTATTTTTTGCTTATTTCTCTATAAGACAAATTGTTAGTCTTTGATGAAGTTCAGTGCATTTCACTTATTTTTTTTTTTAAGGATGGCTTATGCATTTATTTTTTTTTTATTTATTGAATCACTGTGGGAAAGGTTACAAAGCTTTCAGGTTTAGGTCTCAGTCATGCAAATATCAAACACATTTCCCTTTACTAATACTTATTTTTTACCATGAAGAACCCCAATAAAACCCCACCCCCACCCCTCCCAGTCCCTGTGAGGCAGATGAATTCTAGTTAACACTCTATCTGCTTTGATTAGATTCATTGTTTCATTAAAAGATTCACCACTATTATTTAGAGTTTACCCCCCCCCCCCAAATCAGACATGTTGAAAAAGCATTGTGAAGTGATTTGCTTTCTACAGCTGGGTTCAAGAATTAAATGTTGGTTTTGGGTTTCTGCGGTTTTACTTATTGACCCTGGAAGTATTTCTACTGAAAGTCAGATAGTTAAGAAATTGGTTTCTGTGCTCTGGAGTCGTGGCCGTGCTGGAGAGCCGCTCGTGGGGGGCAACTGGCGGCCTCGGTAGGGCGTGAAGGGCGGACCGAAACGCACCCCTTCCCATGAGGTTTTAGTTGCCCCCACACCCCCGGCTCATACCTGCTGTCCACAAGGCTCCCATGCGGCCGCCATCTTTCTTTCCAGAGAGGAGAGGGCGAATGGGGCAACACCCTTTCCCCTCCGGACAGACATGATGGCCTGGATTAACGCATAGTCCTTTCACTTTTCTGCTCCAAGATGCTGGGTTCTGCATTAAGTCCTTGTGCTTCTGGGGTTGTGGCCGTGCTGGAGAGCCGCTTGTGGGGGGCAACTGGTGACCTCGGTAGGGCGTGAAGGACGGACCGGAACGCCCCCCTTCCCATGAGGTTTTAGTCGCCCCCACACCCCCGGCTCATACCTGCTGTCCACAAGGTTCCCATGCGGCCACCATCCTTCTTTCCAGAGAAGAGAGGGCGAATGGGGCAACACCCTTTCCCCTCCGGGCAGACTTGATGGCCTGGATTAACGCATAGTCCGTTCACTTTTCTGCTCCAAGTTGCTGGGTTCTGCATTAAGTCCTTGTGCTTCTGGGGTTGTGGCCGTGCTGGAGAGCCGCTTGTGGGGGGCAACTGGTGACCTCGGTAGGGCGTGAAGGACGGACTGGAACACCGCCCTTCCCATGAGGTTTTAGTCGCCCCCACACCCCCGGCTCATACCTGCTGTCCACAAGGCTCCCATGCGGCCGCCATCCTTCTTTCCAGAGAAGAGAGGGCGAATGGGGCAACACCCTTTCCCCTCCGGGCAGACATGATGGCCTGGATTAACGCATAGTCCGTTCACTTTTCTGCTCCAAGCTGCTGGGTTCTGCATTAAGTCCTTGTGCTTCTGGGGCTGTGGCCGTGCTCCAAACTTAACTCTGATTTTCAGGGAGAAAGGTTGGGTGGTTTACTTCCCATTGATCACTTTGTATATAGAGAGATGTCGCGTGGCCGCATTAGCGGCTGGCGGTTCTGAGAAAAAGTCCTAGTTCCCACATACTCGAGCTGTGCTTGTAGAGGCTTCTGGTCACCGGGGTTCCATCTGGGGGAGGCGGGATGCGGTACCTACCCCATCTGGGACTTCCCGGTGATCTCGGCTCTTTTTGGAACCTGTTTTTCTTTTTCTCCGGGAGCTGTGGATCCCGCCCTCCATGTGGCCCTTCTCTTCGGCTGTATGCTCGCATTTCACTTATTTTAAATGATAAATTTCTTTTTTTCTTTCTTGATCAAATATTTATTTATTTATTTATTTAATTTTTATTAGTGAGATACCATGAGGTACAGTTGTAGACTTACAAATTTTGTGCTTGGGTTTTAAATAATAAATTTCTAAACAGATGACTGGTTAAAGAAACTTTGGTACATCTACACAATGGAGTACTAGACAGCTGTTAGAAATGATGAAGTCATGAAATTTATATACAAGTGGTACCACATGGAACGTATCATGCTAAGTGAAATGAGTCAGAAAGAGAGGGACAGACATAGAAAGATTGCATTCATCTGGGGAATATAAAGTAAGAAAATAGGAGACTAACACCCAAGAATAGCTGAGATAAGTACCAGGAGGTTCACTCCATGGCTTGGAGGCCAGCCACGCATGCTAGGGGAAAAGGCAACTCAGATAGAGAAGGGAGTACCAAGTAAAGGGTGTTGGGAGGATCCTCCCAGGATGGGAGATACATGCTGAAAGTAGACTGTAGATCGAACATGATTGCCACTCAGTGCCTTTTTTGCAAACCACAGCACCCAAAAGGAGAGAGAGAACAAAAGGAAATGCTCTGCCACAGAGGCCGGGTGGGATGGGGGGGCTGGGGACGGTGGGAGGGATACTGGGATCATTGGTGGTGGAGAATGGGCACTGGTGGAGGGATGGGTATTTGATCATTGTATAACTGAAACCCAAGCACAAAAATTTGTAAATCTACTGCTGTACCTCATGGTGTTTCACTAATAAAAATCTGAATAAAAAGAGAGAGAGAGACAGAGAGAGAGGGAGAGAAAGAGAGAGAGAGAGAGAGAGAGAGAGAACAAAAGGAAATGCTCTGCCACAAAGGCGGGGTGGGATGGGGGCGGTGAGGGTGGTGGGAAGGATACTAGGATCATTGGAGAATGGGCACTGGTGGAGGGATGGGTACTTGATCATTGTATAACTGAAACCCAAGCACAACAATTTGTAAGTCTACAACTGTACTTCATGGTGTTTCACTAATAAAAATTAAAAAAAAAAATCTAGAAACAAAAACCCCAAAACAGTAAATTTCTCTGTTGTTCATAGGAGACCAAAAATGAGTAAGACACTGCTATAAATAGACACATACAATGGAATATTACAGAACCATAAAAGGGAAATCTTGCCATTTGTAACAAATATGGATGGATCTTGGTGGCACAGTGCCAAGTGAAATACATCAGAGGAAGACAAATATGACTTCATTTACATGTGGAATCTAAAAATACCAAGCTCATCTCCAGTTTCTGTCATTAATGATTTACTATTTTCAGTGGACAGTATTTAAGCTCTTTCAATTAAATGCATTCATAGGTATTTTAAATTTTACTCTTTCTGATAAGTTGTAAATGACCTTGTTTCCTTAAATTTCCCTTACAATTATTGTTAGTTTGTAGAAATAAAGAATTTTTTTAAACATGAATTTATATGCTACAACTTTATTGAATTGGTTTATTAGTTCTAATACTTTGGAGTCTTTAGGGTTTTCGACATGTCATCTGGCATGTCATCTGCATGTTAATGACAGTTTATGTTTGGTAAACTTGGTCTTTAATTAATATTCTAAGTTGGCAGTGTTGTATTTAATGTCATTGTTACAAATTGCCTGTTCTTAAGAAACTGTTTTTTTTTTCTTTCTTTCTCTAGCTTCTTGGACATTTGATGATTGTTGGCAAGAAATGTGCTGCTGAGCAGGGTCTAAAGAAGGGTTACCGGATGGTGGTGAATAACGGTTCAGATGGAGGACAGACTGTCTATCATATTCATCTTCATGTTCTCGGAGGTCGGCAGATGAATTGGCCTCCTGGTTAAGCACATTTTAGAAATAGTTTACCTTCTCTGGCAATACAAGCTAGCAAGTTCCAATGTTTCAATTATTAGTATGCTTAGTTTTGCCTGTCGTGGAATAAGAAAATGATGTTAAAAATTCACATGTAATAAAAACCATTGCTGAATGGCTTGTGTTCTCTCTAAATCTTTAAAAAATATGTACTTATTGGAGTGTCTGAATGTGGCATTTGTGATTTGGGACATTCGTTTTTCACACCCACCAAGAACCCAATACTTGAACATTGGTAAAATAGTGTGAATGAGCTTTGAAGACAAATAAATTTGTTTATAAGTTTTCATAAGTTAAGGTTTCATAGATTATGGTTTAGCTTTGAAAATATACTAGTCCAGGAGTTTTTTTAATCCATTTCTCTCGTTTTCTAAGATCAAAAGTGTGGGTGGGGGTGTATGGTGCCGCCAGCAGGTCAATCTGTACCTGTGAGACGAGTGCATCAGCAAACTGATGGCGTGGTGCCTTCAGACTTCCAGATACACCAAAATTGCTGCTGTGCCTCTAGCCAGACCCTAAAAACTTGGGGCAAAGTTTACCAAGAAAGTAAACGGCCAAAAGTTAGGTACGTGGGAAACACACCCACAAACCAACTCAGGCTCAGCTATATAATTGGAGGCATGGCCTCTCTGATTCCTGATTGAATTGCTTAATGGCCATGATCCCAGAGACTCAGAAATGAATCTCGAAACCCAGCTGCTTTTGGCAGAAATGCATCCGGTCTCTGCAGTAGGTTACCAGTGCTGGGCCAACCCAGGTGGGAATAGGTTTCGTCCCTTGGCCTGTTGCCCCTGGTGGCCTGGTGACACCATCCTCCAGAGGCCACTGGACAGTCAGGTTTGGGCCCGCAGTGACGAGACACGCAGGGCCTCATGGGATGGGGGTGGAGCCAGTCCTGTCCTCCCTGTCTCAACGAGACCCCAAGTCATCGCCCACAAATGGCCTCTCTGGCTCCTGATCAAGCTGCTTAATGGCCATGATCCCAGAGACTCAGAAACAAATCTCGAAACACAGTGGCTTTTGGCAGAAAGGCATCCGGACCCTGCAGTAAGTTATTGTCGCCAAGCCACCCCAGGGGGGAAAGGGTGTTGTCCCTCCGCCTGCTTCCCCTTGGTGGCTCGGTGGCCATCATCTTCCAGAGGTCATTGGACAATCAGACTTGGACCTGCAGTGACGAGACATGTTGGGCCTCACGGGATGGGGGTGGAGCCAGTCCTGACCTCCCCACCCCAATGAGATCCCAAGTCATTGCCCACAGCCTCTCTGGCTCCTGATCAAGCTGCTTAACAGCCATGATCCCAGAGACTCAGAAACAAATCTCGAAACCCAGTGGCTTTTGGCAGAAACGCGTCTGGACCACGCAGTAGGTTACTGTCGCCGGGCCACTCCAGGGGGGAAAGGGTGATGTCTCTCTGCCTGCTTCCCCCTGGTGGCTTGGTGGCCGTTATCCTCCAGAGGCCATTGGACAGTCAGGTTTGGGCCCACAGTGATGAGACACGCGGGGCCTCATTGGATGGGGGTGGAGCCTGTCCTGTCCTCCCTACCCCAACAAGACCCCAAGTCATCGCCCATGAATGGCCTTTCTGGCTCCTGATCAAGCTGCTTAACGGCCATGATCCCAGAGACTCAGGAGCAAATCTCGGAACCCAGCAGGTTTTGGCAGAAATCCCTCCAGATTTAATTGTTAAAATTTCAGAATTTCAAAATCCCGTGGCCACTACTGCGGCCACGCGACATCATGTGTTATTCATAACCAGCAATAGAAAACAAATTGTCTACTGTTGACTTTTCAGCAGATCTGAGTGTTGGGGTAAAATCTCAAGTAATAACGGTGGGTCTGGTGTCAAAATATTGAATGTGATCAAAGTAGAGAGAGAGAGAGTAATATGGAAATCATCTGCCCCACAGGTAGGGGGAGGGTATAGGAGGAGGGTACACTGGGGTTGTTGGGGGTGGAGAATGGGCACTGGTGAAGGTACGGGTGTTTCATTGTATGACCGAGACTTAGACCCGAAAGCTTTGTAACTGCTCTCACAGTGATTCAATAAATAAAATTATAAAAAAATGAAAAAAAAAAAACTGTGGGTGGGTACATAATATGTTGAGATACAATTTTTTTAGTCTACAAACCTTTTTTCCCCTAGCCCACATGTCTCACCTGGACTGTTGGGGTTATTTGGAGGAGGTGAAATAGGCTTGTTACAAACTCTGTGATGACCATTTGAAACCATACATTAGTATTTTTCTTGTTATCTGAAATACATGGATATTTATTATGAAGACTTTAAAAAGATTTTACTTACAGTTCACCTCCCAAATTGAACACTTTTGAGTGTGTATGTGCATCCCACAGATGCTTTTTGTTTTGGGGCCACACCTGGCAGTGCTCAGGGCTCATTCCTGACTCTGTGCTTAGGAATCACTCCTGTGGTGCTCAGAGGACCAAAAGCGGTGCTGGGAATTGAACTGGGTGGGACATACACCTTGATCCCCATCTTAACTCTTTCATCCCTGTGCTTAAGTTTTTTAAATTAAATAAATTTTTATAGAGACCATTTTAGTAGGGTTTGATATTTATGTATTTGTTTTGGGGAACCACACTGGCAATGCTCAGGGCTTACTCCTGCTCTGTGTTCAGAGATCACTCCTGGTATGCTCTTGGGACAATACGGGTTGCTGGGAATTGAACCCTGGTTGATGACATGAAAGGTAACCAATCCTACCTACTATACTGTCACTCTGGCCCTATGGTTTGATATATATAATTGAAATTTGGTATAGTAAAATAAATTTTGTGTTACTCCATAGCTGCCACACCAGTGGTGCTATTGCTGGGGCCACTCCAGTGCTCAGTCTTGAACTCATGGTCTCATATGAGGACTCTACCACCTAAGCTGATCTCCAGACCTAATAATGTTTTTAAAGTAGTCTATTTGCAGTTGGGGGATTTCGGTTACTTGTCCTTTATGTCTTACAAATAAATTTCCCCCAGTGTAATTTGTCTCTTTTACCTTATTTCTGGTGTTTTAAGTATTTGCATAGAAAAGTTTTTCTTTTATTTCCCCTCCCCCCACATAGATAAGCTTTTCATATTTCAAAATGTCTCATTCATGCCTGGAGCTATAAAACAGCCAGTAGAGTGTTTGCTTTGTTATGTGGCCAACCCAGATTTGATTCTCTGCACCATGCCTGGTCCCGAGCCCACCAGGAGTGATCCCTGAGTACAGAGCCAGGAGTAAGCCCTGAGCATTGCCTTGGTTTGGTCCACAAAGAAAACCAGAAATTTTGTTTCAGGGATTGGAGATATAGTAGAGGATGCTTGCCATTCACATAGTTGACCTTGGTTTGACCTTGTATATGGTCCCAAGAGCTGCTAGATTAATTCCTGAATGCAGAGGCGCGAGTAACCCCTGAGCATTGCTAGGTATGACCCCAAAATTAAAAAATTAGGATATAATCATCCCAAAATAATTTGAATTTTTTAAATTTTTGTTTAAAGGGTAAAACATAATTTATACTTAAAAAAGATATTTTATGCAAACACTGTAAGAAAGCTACCTTGGCTATATCTGTATTAGATGAAATGCACTTTAATTCAAAGAATATTACCAAAGATAGAGATAGACATTTCATAACAGTTAAAGGGCCAATTCACCAAGAGAATAGCAATCCAAATATTTATGTACCTAACAAGATCTCAAAATGCAGGAAACAAAACTAATAACTGAAAAGAAAAATTCTTTATTTGATAATTCAATCATCACAATTTTTCTCCACCTTGACTGATTTAAAATATTTTTGTTGTTTTGGGGACTTGTGCCATAGAAAAGGATATAGTGTGAGAAGCATTTGATACTTTATTATTATTTTTTTATTTTTTTAATTTAGATTTTTATTAGTGAAATACCATGAGGTACAGTAGTAGATTTACAAATTTTTGTGCTTGGGTTTCAGTTATACAATGATCGAATACCCATCCCTCCACCAGTGCCCACTCTCCACCACCACTGATACCAGTATTCCTCCCCCCCCCCCCCCCCCCGCCTCCTCCATCTCACCCTGCCTCTGTGGCAGGGCATTCCCCCTTGTTCTCTCCTTTTGGGTGCTGTGGTTTGCAAAAGAGGCATTGAGTGCAATCATGTTCGGTCTAGAGTGTACTCTCAGCATGCATCTCCCATCCTGGGAGGATCCTCCCAACACCCTTTTTTGGTGCTCCCTTCTCTATCTGAGCTGCCTTTTTCCCCAGCATGTGCGGCTGCCCTCCAAGCCATGGAGTAAACCTCCTGGTACTTAAAACCTGGTACTCTGCCATTCTTGGGTGATAGTCTCCTGTTTTGTTACTTTATGTTCCCCAGATGGATGCAAGGATTGAGTACTTTAAAAATTAAATCTTTTCCACTAATTTTTAAAAAAACAATGCTAATAAATCAGAAGACAACTCTTAAGTTGTCTTGCTGTTTTTTTTTTTTTCTGACCTTTTTGCCTTAACAGACTGGTGGGCACCAATCTTCCTGTGGTAGTCTCCAAAGACAGCTCACAGACATTCCACTTCTAATTTCTCCGCCCATTTGCAGTCTTCTTGCATATCCAATCAAGGCTGTCTGTGTGATTAATAGCAGGCACAACGACAAGGTATGATTTCCGAGATGAAGTTGTGCCTTGACCTGCACTACTCACTTTGGGTGAGTCAGGTATGGTCAAGGAGACCCAAGCAGCCCCCTGGAAAGGCCTCTACTAGGAAAAGCCAAGGCCTTACACCTGCGGTTAGCAGTAATGTGAGCTACAAGTAGATAAATCATCTTGGAAGTAGATCCTTTCTATGTCAATCCAGCAGATAACTACTGTCTAGGTCAACCTCTGAGGGCATCTGCTTGAGAAACCCCAAGGCAGAGCCAAGTGGATAATCTGCTCCCAAATTCCTGATTGCAATAAAAGGAGAAGAAAATTATTAAGACTAGTTTCTCTTTTGTTTCTGAACATTAAGAGATTAAGAACAAAAAAAATAAATCCCAACCACAAAAAAGGTAAAGGTAAAGGCCCTCCAGTTGATCATCGATTTGCTCTAGCGGGCCCAGTAACGTCTCCATTGGAGACTTTGTTGTTACTGTGTCCCAA